AAAGCCGTTAATGGAAAGTTAGGCTTCACAATAGATTCGTTCGGTTTCTTAAAAAATGTGGTGCAGAACAAGAAAGAACCAATAGTAGCGGCACTTAATTAATTAGACGACATGTTCATAAGAAAACACATTCAACTGGTCGGAAACAAAGTTGTTGGATATGTTGACTTAGGCACAGAAATATCGGAAGACAGCTTGCCAGAAGCAACTAGTGCATGTGTGTTCATGCTTGTAGCGCTCAACTTGAGGCTTAAAGTACCACTAGGATACTTTCTCATAGATTCTTTATCGGGATCCGAAAGAGCAAACTTAACCAAGGAGTGCATTGCAAGGGTAACATCAGCAGGTGTGGATGTTGTGTCCTTGACGCTTGACAGGGCTTCTTCCAACTTCACAATGGCCCGCTGGCTTGATGCTGATCTCTGCTACCGTTAAACCGATTTTGCGACAAGTTTTGACTGCCCTACGGACTCGTCGAAGAAGATCTCGATCATTCTAGACCCTTGTCACATGCTCAAGCTAGTTCGTAACTGCCTCGGATCGGTTGACTACCTTGTTGATGATCAAGGCTCGCACATCAAGTGGTCCTAAATCGAAGCACTATAGAAGTCATGCAGCGAGAAGAAGGCATGCACCTTGGAAATAAACTCACAAAAGTTCATGTTGAATGGGAGAAACAAAAAATGAAAGTAAGGCTTGCTGTACAAACGCTCAGTTCCTCAGTGGCAGACGCTCTCGACTTCTGTGAATTTACTTTGAGATTGCCACTATTCCAAGGTGCACATGCGACAGCAAGGTTCATACGAATTTTCGACAGGCTGTTTGACTTGCTTAATTCGAGAAATCATCTTGCCAAGTCTTTTAAAGCTGCACTACGCAATGAAAATGTTGTATCATGGAAGGCTTTTCTGCAGGAAGCTGAAAATTATATCACTAAGCTAACTTGCGCAAATGGGCGCCTTGTCATTAACAGCCAGAAGAAAACTGGATTTGTCGGCCTTTGCATTCGCAGCGCTGTAAATCTCTTTGACCGTCTTGTAGCCACAGGGACGATGAAGTACTTGTTGACACACACAAGATGTCGCAGGACCACTTGGAAATTTTCTTTGGGTGCATCAGAGGTAAAGGGTGTTTCAACAACAATCCAACTGCCTCTCAGTTCACAGCAGCGTACAAGCGTCTACTCATACAGACAGAGGTTATGTCATCTGACTCTGGCAACAGTGCTGGCTGTGTCAAGTGCCGTCATTGAAGTCGAATCAACTACATGCAGTCACCCACCAGAGAAGATGTTCAGTCCTTGAGCCGTTTGATGGTGACCATGAGTACACCTATCGCGTAGACCTGCCTCGGGGCCTGTCTCCAGTTGTTGAAGCTGTTGTGTCGTATGTTGCAGGATTTGTGGCGCGCAAAGTTGCAGACAGCCCGTCTTGTGAAAAGTGCGTGGCTGCGCTGCAGTCGAAGGAACATCCAGTACTTTCTCAAGCAAAAGGTCATGGTGGCCTGGTGGCACCATCCAAGGACGCGCTGTACATTTTCGAGGCTGCTGAGAAAGGTATTCGGGTTCTGCAGGTAGAAAACAATGATGTAAGGGCATTGCACAAAAGGTGTACACCACTGATCTTGGAAATCTCAACTATGACTCTCTCGTAGAAAACAATGATGTAAGGGCATTGCACAAAAGGTGTACACCACTGATCTTTGAAATCCTAACTATGTCTCTCGAGGGGTCGTGGTTTGCAGAGCTTCAGCATCACCTGCTTGACTGTGACCCTCTAGATAACCACATATATAAGCTGTCAAAGATGATTGTGCAGTACTATATCAAAATCCGAATACATCACATCACCAAAGAAATTAATAGAACTTTGTCGTATATAGCAGATTATCCCCCGGCTTTGTCAAGAAAAGCCGATCACGATGCTGTATTTAGGTTGTGGATTGTCTCTCACTTATAAATGACCTCACAATTGTTTTAGTGCTTCAAATGAAGCTGTCCAACAGTGCATATATATATATATATATATATATATATATATATATATATATATATATATATATATATATATATATATATATATATATATATATATATATATATATATATATATATATATATAGTGAAGGTATGAGATATGGCACAACGGGAGCGTTGTCAACAAGGATAAATATATTTATTTCCCAACAGTTTCGGGAGGGGTCCTCCCTTCATCAGGGGATGAGTTATACTGACATGAGCTTCCAAACTTCGTTGCTGTTCCTGTTCACGTTGTGTCTTGTTCACGTTGCGAGCACGTAGTATGGCATCGTCAATAATGTCTTCCGGATAATTTTGTTTCAATAAGGAGTGCTTTAGGTGTTCCGCGTGTCTGTCAAATTCCCGCATATCGGTGCATATTCTTCGGTACCGGTAGGTTTGAGAATATGGAATACATGTTTTGCAATGCTTTGGGTGGCTGCTGTTGAAATGTAGGTACATTTGACGATCTGTAGGCTTTTTGTAAAGGTTTGTTGACAAGTGGTCATTTTCGACCGTGACAGTGACGTCCAAAAAGTTAATGCTAGTTTTGGAAATTTTGTGCGTGAATTTTATTGACGGGTGGCATTTGTTAAAATCCTCTATGAAGCGGAAAAGACTTCCCTCATCATGGTTCCATATCATAAAAATATCGTCTAAGTATCTTCTGTAGTAGAAAGGTTTCAAGGTGCGTCCCTCAATGAATGAGATTTCAAGTGAAGCCATAAAGGTGCTCGCGAAGTTTGGGGCCATTTTCGTGCCCATTGCAGTGCCACTGACCTGAAGGAAATGCTTGCCGTTGAACTCAAAATGGTTATAATTTAGTACAAGTTCAAGAATTGTAAACAGTACCTCGCCACTTACACCAGTTGATGAGTCAGATTTTACATATTCAGAAACCATAGCCGCTATTCCGTCATGGTGGGGTATGTTGGTGCACAGTGAGCAGACGTCCATGGTCACCAGAAAACTGCCACCTGGGATGTCGAGACTTGAAGTTTCGCAGATGAAGTGGTTTGTGTCCTTTAGGTACTAGGGAAAATTTGGGGGGATGTTCTTTATTAAGGAATTGATGAATTCTGATATATTTTCTGTTGATGTGCTGTTACTGGATACTATCGGACGTCCCGGATTACCTGCCTTGTGTATTTTGGGGAGCAAATAGAATCGACCGGGAACAGAACGGGAACTTCAAGTCTCAAGTCTCGAAACTGTTGGGAAATAAATATACTTATCCTTGTTGACAACGCTCCCGTTATGCCATATCTCATACCTTCACGAAGACTAACTGGGCCATTGAATTATTACTCCCACTATATATATATATATATATATATATATATATATATATATATATATATATATATATATATATATATATATATATATATATATATATATATATATATATATATATATATATATATCATCCCCTGATGAAGGGAGGTCCCCTCCCGAAACTGTTGGGAAATAAATATATTTATCCTTGTTGACAACGCTCCCGTTGTGATATATCCCATACCTTCACGAAGACTAACTGGCCCATTGAATTATTACTCCCACTATATATATATATATATATATATATATATATATATATATATATATATATATAGTGGGAGTAATAATTCAATGGGCCAGTTAGTCTTCGTGAAGGTATGGGATATGGCACAACGGGAGCGTTGTCAACAAGGATAAATATATTTATTTCCCAACAGTTTCGGGAGGGGACCTCCCTTCATCAGGGGATGAGTTATACTGACATGAACTTCCTTGCTGCCGCGTCCCTCTCGCCTTGAAAGACGTTTGCGAGAGTGAGAGGGAACTGGAAGAAAAAAAAGAGAGAGAGAGAAAAGACGAAAAAAGAAAGAAAAGAAAGAAAGTAAAAAACAGGAAGAACCACTGTCAACGCTGAGAGAAGCCAACTGTCCGTCTATATATATATATATATATATATATATATATATATATATATATATATATATATATATATATATATATATATATATATATATATATATATATATATATATATATATATATATATATATATATAAGTGAATGCGTGTGTGCGCATTCACTTATAAGTTACAGACGCGTACAAGTGAACAATTATTGGATGAAGGTGGGCGTGGCTGAACCGCCAAACCCTGTCAACAATACGCGCAGCGCTACGTTGTTCTGTTACTTTGTCACACCTCGCGCGTTTTTAACAAGGACAAAACAGAGGGAAAGAGCACAATATCCGCGCTGTCTTGTGTTTTTCTATTCGTTTACTTTTTTAAAAATCCGCGCTGTGCTTGACCGAAATGACAACCAGCCGAAACATGCATCGTTCTCATCAAATTTGGCGTGATAGATGCATGCCTAATGAAGTGAATAAGTGCTTTTCACATTAGCTTGTGGTTCCTCTTTGAACACTGTAACTATTTCATTGCAAAAAAACCTAGTTCCCAGTAACACAAATGTTATACAGTGCGCCAGCAAGCTCGATATGCGAAGCATCCCTCGACAACAGATTATTCTGAAAACAAGCAGCTGACAATGGGTGCATGAAATAACTAGTTTAATTAACAAAAAGAGGCGTTTATTCGCTGGTGTAACCTAAAAGTGGTTTTCATCTCATTTCTTTATCGTAGAAGTGCAAACCAACGCGCGCAACGTGCGTATTCCATTGCAGTGTATGGCAATCCGCCCTGTTTTTCCTCTAGCAATATGGCCGCTGGCGGCTTCACTTGCTCCAGTTGGCGGTGGCCGGAATTGCCACTCCAGAGGTTTTATACAACCTCCTTGCTTCAACCAGAGTTATTCAGTCAAATGTCCTTCAACAGCCAACAAAGAAATTTACAGATTTCGCAGTTTATGCTTATTCTGGTCATTAAAATACGTTCTATTTGTCAGGTTGTTGAAAAAAAAAAACGATTATAAAGTGCAGTTTTGTTCGCAGTTAGCTGGCGCTAGCGGCGCTAGTGCGAAAATCATGGCCGCCTTCTGAAGAGCTGTCTGCAATGAGTTCTTTTACCATAGGCATTCGTTGATGTTATAGCCTTTTAGCCTTTTAGACTGTTAGACTATTGAGCCTTTTAGACTATTTGAACCCTTCCTCGTGCGCTTTGAAGTGCTTCGTGAACTAACGGTCAGGTCAACGTGATCTAACGCTGAGATATGCCTACGTAGCCATGAACTTATACTCTAGATACGTCCATTTCAGCACAGGTTGAACTAGTGGTTTTCGAATTGTGCCTCGAATCACGCCGAAGGTTGACGCTGCGGTGTCTTGCCGCTGAGCACCGAAGATGGACATCGTATTGAGACAGCAGATGTGTCTTAAAGAATGCTACGATTATTTACTTCGGAAGCCGGAAGCCCAAGACAGCACGGAACTCAAACAAAACTTGCGAAAGCTGAACGAATGCAACTATAGCTTTCAATTCATTAGTAGTCGGGTAAGGATGTTTGTTCCGCCACATTACGTAGACATTCGACCATCTTAGGCTCAGTAGCGTGCGCTTAGTGCCTTGGGCTTCTCTACTTTTTGTGGTCTAGTGTTGAAATAGCACGCATAGCGTCTTGGTCAGTACATGATCCGCCTTTTACTAATTCAGTCAGTGTAGTTCAACAACCTGCGTTCGAAACCTGCTGTAACGCAAAGCATTTGCGTGTGGCTCTAGCTACGTGATATCTTTGTTTGTTTGTTTGTAGCCTAGAATCAATGGCTCATACCCACTCTGGGAGATCGGCCAAGATAACATATAGTCTCATATCTTCCGCAGCATTCTTCTTCTTTTTTTTTTATCTCGTTCTCACTGCCCGATTTTGAATCGGTGCATGCTGAGGGAAATGAAGGTCCGATAAAATCGTGGTCTAGGTGTGTTAGAGTTACCGCCCGCTGTTTGACGTTGCCCATGACCCCATTTTCAGCCTGTCTGGTTTGTTTTTTGTTTTTTTTTTCAGGATGCTGATGTGATAATCGTACTTCTCGTCGACACGCTGAATGTTATACAGGATGACGACCTCATATCATATTTCGGGCAACTTGTTTTTGATATTTGCGCAAAGCAAAAGGTGAGAAATTCGCCTTGCAGATCTCATGCGGGTTTGCAATTATGTAAGGCAAAAGCACTCCAAATTTCATATGCGGACGCTTGTACAATAGTTTAAAGTGTTCTGTGAAACCAAGAGAGATAGACTTGATTCATAACTGTAACTGTAATTTTAAATGACGTCAACTAGGGCTTGAAAATCTTGTAAACGTATGCTTTGATGTGATCATCCGACATTGTGCACGCGCTATTGGCCGATGAATAAATAGTATTTCGATATTTGACTTGAATCGGAAGCACCTAGAGGACTTTACAAACAAATTGTGATGCTTCTTTACTATTTTTGTCATTTCACTATATACTGTGGTATTCCAGTGATCAACACTGGTCAATCGAGGTTAGAGCCAGTGACCAAAAGTGGGAAAATAATCTTTCTTAGAAACTCTCATTGTTACCAGTGCGTAAGACATCATCATCTTTGATTTCGTGGCATGTCTGTATATCAGTATACACTGTGCACGAACAAGTGTTCACGGAGATAGTGTGTGCTGTGTTGAGTTACAGCAATGAAATGTGTTGTTTGGATAGCACAGTTTGTATTTTGTGCACGCTGTCTCTGCATGGCTACTTCTTACTTCAGGTCACGTTGGAGACTAAGACTCTGCATAAAGTGATGGAATACTTCCTCAAGGCATTGTCCTTCTGCAGCTCTTGGGTGCTGGCAAACTGCATCAGTGCCTGTGGTGCACTCCTTTACTCAAATGTGCCACGTCTTGAGCAGGCAAGTCACAATGTCTCTGCGTTTTGTTGACTGAAACATTTGCCTTAGTCTTTCAACCATTTTTACCAGTCTTTCTTTCGTCACAGTCTTTTCTAGACCGTTGCCTTACAATTTCATGCTAATAAACATTTCTAACTTTTATTACAATTAATGTGCAGCTCAAGATTTGACTTTAAAGGGACCAACAACTAATCTTTATGATACCTGTTTTCTTTAGTGTAGCAGATAAGTTATTGCTAAGATTACCTACTAATGGAATAAAAAAAATCCGTAAACGGGCTGTGTGTTTGAGCCAGCATCAAGGCTGGAACCTAAAGAAAACGAGTTCACTAGTCGAAACATCGGCTAGGGCACTCAACTCCTGTTTTCTGTCATTTTAATGACTGAATGGTAATGCAGAAAATGCTGTAATATATTTATAATGAATTTTTTTTTTTGTAAAATATGAAGCCGTATAAATGCCTAATATGCTGGAAACGGAGGGAAGTTATTGCGAGAGTGGTTTACGTTTGTGCACAACGGTTTGCTGCACCTACATGCACTATGCACTGGTGCATGCACAAAAGTCCACAGTGCTCGACATGCCCCCCTAGTTGCCACAAAGGCGTTGCTGCTTCTTAGCATACTACTTTTCTTACCCCGCAAGAAGCGCAGAATATAACGAGGAAATAAATGTTATACTTTCTCTAATTTCGAGCATTAATTATGGTGCACAGAAAAGCATGCGACTACATAAAGCGAAGGGAACGGCTCCATAATCCAGATTCAAAGCTCTTCCGCACTGCTGCACAACATATTTTTTTTTTACTTTTAAACATGATTTAAAAATGTAAAATATTCTCATTGCGAAAAGGGTGCTTGAATATGTCACTATAATGCATGGTCATTTCCTTTTCACCGCAATCTAATCACATGTTCTGACCAGCTGTCAGCCCCTTTAATCGACAATGCTCCTTATTAAAGTCTGAACATATACTTGTTTACTGCTTCTATTAAATTGCATGGAAATTCGTACTTTCCCAAATGTGCATTAAAGCTAATTCTCACTACTTTTTACACTCACACATGCCAAGTTTGCAATAAGTTTACGTTAATGAGTGTGGTCGTAAAGTGTTTCACCGTGCTTGTAACAGCAGTCTGATTGCATTCCTATTTCAGTTCTGGGAGCAGCTGCTTGGTCCAGGTTGTGCATTTGAAACCCTGCTTTCCTCGCTTGAGCTTGACGTGAATGCGAAGCTTGCTACACTTAAAGCTCTTAGAGCCATGACTGTTCGGTAAGTCTCGTATGCCAAATGTGCTGGTTTAGCTCTGGCTATTTTATTTTTTGAAGTGCTGTCGATACTTAGATTTCTCTTTGTTTGTACTCTCTTGTAAACTTGGAAAGAACGGAACAGAAACTGTGTCAGGTAATAATTTGTTAGCAGATAAATTTGTTAGGATAGGGGGAAAATGTAATCACTCATTTCATTAAAAGCCATACCCTAGTCAACTTATATGAGTGCACCTGTACTATGCTGTTTGTGCACAAGTATCGCTGTTTCATCTAATTTCATGTAGTTAGTAAGTGCAAACACAGATACTGCGGAAGAATTGTGCAGGAGACAGTGTAAGTTGATGTAGTTGTTGTGTCTCATTTTTCTCTCAATTATTAAAAATAATGTGCAAATGTGATATACATGTATACCAATCACAATGTTTTGTAAAAGTTCACTCTATTTAAATTTTGTGGCTGCTTTTTTGTTTGTTGCAACTGGTGGCACCATGAAGTGTCGCTCTCAACAATCTTCATTCTCGTGTGCCTCAGGTATTATGTTTTGCCAGAATAGTGGGCTGGTGTGAGACGCCAGGGGTGTAACCATCTGTGGAAAGGGGGACTGTCCAACTCCCTCTCTGGTATGCATGTACATGCATGTGTTTGTAGATGTGAATCAGTATATATGTACATGCAAAATGTACATGCAAAATGTAAACCTTCAAGGAGGCTTACTTCCCGGCTTTGGCTATGTGACTGTGAGATGCCCTCATGGCTTTCCATTTCGTAGCCTCTTGTCAGCTTTGATTTGGAATGCCTTAGGACTCATTATGACATGCATATAAGTTGCAATGACTGTGAAGAAAGATTAGTCATTCAAATAATTATTCATCTTTGTTAAATCTTTTGTCTGTTCACAAAATATAAAATGTAAAATATTCAGCAGCATACCACCAATAAATACCACTTGAAATAAAATGTTGCTAATGTGCTACTTATGAAAAAATCATTACCTGCTAAAATTGATTCCTTCGGAAAGCAAGTTCATTCCAAGCTGCAGTGGCCGCATTGTGAAGATAAAAGATGCAAACATGTTCAAACTAAGTGCACTAAATTTTTAAATGGTGTAAATTAATCTGGGGGTAAATGGTAAATGTTAATCTGGCAGAAATTTCCAAAATGGACCGCACACAATGAATTGAGAAAGTGTAGTGTTTCATGTGCCAGCGTGTTTACTACCCATTTAAGCCTGCATTTCTAGTTGAACGTTGAGATTTTTAATCTGCATCACCGTGAACGAAAAATAAGCAGTAGCAGCTAACATGTGGTTGTGTGTGGTTAGTGGAAACTATTCACTTCTCGTTATCAGCACAACTACACTAGCAGAAATTCGCCATCTGAAGAGTTACTAGCAGCAAATGTAATGCTTAGTATGCAGTCTATTGTTGCCATTCTGTTCGACAAGAGCACTTGCTTAGTTAAATGAGATAGAATCATAGGACGTCACTAAGGCATTTGCTATTGTTAAACACTGTCCGTGTAATCCAGTATGTTGCAAACAAGAGTATGTTTATGCCAAACCTCAGCAGTAGAATAGGACTAATAGTCATCAGCAGCCTTCAGTATTTTCAGTGAGCTGATTCCTTATGCACGTTACGCAATACAGGAATCCTGGAGAACCTCACATGCCAGATGCTTACATCACTCGAATGGTGGAGATACTTCTCGGTGTGCTCAGTGGACCATGCTTTAAGGACAACACAGTGCAAGCACAGGCAAGTGTGACCTCGTGTTTGTTTTTTATATCTGTTTTCTTGATAGAAAAGGTGTCCTGGGTACTGCAGTGCAGTATCGTGGCCCCATTGACGTCCCGATTTCTATTGCAATCACCATTGCTGAGTGTTCGCATGGAGAACAATCGCAAGGCCTCAGGGGAGACACTGTACATTCACTATGCGCTGAGCTTGCAACATTGCACAAGCTACATGAGTAGTCGCTCTACGCATTTTGTAATGTAGTTGCTTTTGATTTGCAATACTTGTCAGGTCAAAAAAAGAGAATTACGATAGCTCTTCTTTTTTTGTCCAGTGTTACCGAAACCAGCAGGTAATGAAGCTAAGGAAAGTATAAGGCACATTAATCGTGCTGCTTTAAGTGTATTGTAGTGATTGCGATATAGTAGATGTGAAGAAAGTAAAGCGGGGGGAACGACAATTTGCTGCCAGCAGGCACCAAACTTGCCCTATTTTTCCCCGATATCTAGTCCACCTATCGCAACGGTTTGCGTGCATAAAGTGATTTCGCATCACATATTCTTTGCACACCTTTATGTTTTCACTATTCTTTTGCTAGATTTCGTATATTGCAACGTTCACATTACGCTATATTTTGTTGCATAAAAGTATAAATTGCATAGTGCATAGCTATGTATTTCTTTGTAGAGTGTGATGCACTGTTCTCTGTCCGGGATGCAAGTCAGTGAGCTAAGCCTTCTCTTTTCGTTGTAGTGTTGCCCAAGTATGAAAGAAAGGATATTAATTTTTGATGAGCTACCTCGGTGACTTGTTACTTGCTTGTAGTATTTTCATATAGTAGTGAAAATTTGCAACCTGCGGTTTTTTAACAGTACATGTAGATAACATAAATTCAAATGTACCTGCCAGTTATAAAACCCCAATATTGTTGACTGTATCTCTTCCTTAATATATTAAGCATTGTAACTTACTACCAATTTTAATCTTATGTCATAATAAATTACTCTTCTGTAAACAGGAGCAGAAATCTTTGGGCTGCAGTATTTCAGATTATTGTGTGTGTGTGTGTTCGTATGTTCATAAGCCTCTGTGCTCTTTTCCCTTCTGGTTTGCTCACAGACTTTGGTGATCAGCGCCTTGAGGTGCTTGCAGAACATTTTTTCCGCAAAGTGGAATTTACCCAGTGAGCATCTTGGAAACCTTCTGGGCATCCTAAAAGTAAGTTCTGCTCAGCAGCATAACCTTACTGCGGTCACTTGCACTTGATGGCGCATGAAGCCTTCACAAGTGTTGTGACGACTGTGTAGTGGGCTGTTACGTGCAGCTCTGTTCCATGCAGTAGTTGCATGAGAAAGAGCTGCGTGGAACAGAGTTGTGGCACTTGATGAACTTGCCACAAGGCATATGCACAGAAAATCAGCAAAAGCACATTAATTTGAATGCATGTAACTCTGGTCTAGGCACATACTGTAGCAATGAAATAACATATTTTTTTGTTCATTATACAGCAGAAGGTGTCATCACACTATATGTGATATGCATGGTAGCAGGCCACAAACATAAAAGCTCATGCTTTTACGTGAATGAAAGAAGAGAATTTTGGAGGCTTGTTTTTGTTTGACACGACGTTTTTGAAAGCAGATAATAAATTCAAGGTAGGTATAAGGAGAATCAATAGTACTGTTTTAAGTGTATTGCAGTATCTGTGATACTGACATGAAGAAAGTAAAGTAGACGAGAAAACAAGTTTATTTGCCACTGGCATGAAGTGAACGTGCAGCATTTGGATGATGCACAGCAACGTTGTTACACATGCATTGTTGCACTACATTGTTATGGGAAAGGATCATCCTAAGAGCACTGGTACTTGCTACAGCGCTCGAATATATTCTCACTCATTCTGATGATTAATTATAAGTTCGAGCTGTGGCAGGTGGTTTCCCACATTGCAGAAATACAGATACAGGGCCTTTGATTAGCCTAGTGTAAATTTAAGGGCTCGTTTCACATTTACATTACAATTCCTTCTTATACCATCCCCTATACTCTCCCTGGCATTATTGTCCATTAGTTATCATAATTATTTTGATTAGACTAGTTATACCCTCACTTTTGCTTGTGTTTTCTAGGGCAGCTATTTCATTTAATATAAAAAAATTTTTTTTAACCCATTTGTGAATAGCTCTTGTGCTGGTTTTTGCATTGCTGAGGACAGCAAAGTTGTTTATAAATGCTTAGTGCTATACTTGTCGCATGTTGATCTAGAAATTAAGAACACCATTTACAACAACCAGATTTCATAGGTTTTCTGAAGTTATCTATAAATGCGCTACATTATGTACATCTGCATTTTGGGAATTTCGGTAATGGTCAGCATTCATATCTATTGTGTATTGCGAATTTCTTTCTCTGGCAAATGAAGTCATTTCTTCTTTATTCTATGCTAGAGCCTCTCATTTTTTGGCTTCCCGGGGCAGAAAAACAAGCAGTACCTAAGCCTAAATCCAAGCCCATTGTGCACGCATTTGCCATCAGTCGCAACCAGCGATGAATCTCAGTGTCAATCGAAGGTAAGTGCACCAAGTCTCACAAAATTGTGAATTATATACTAATACTAATATGTTTGGCTGGTCACCACCACAAACTGACTTAGATTGCAACAGTGCAAAGCTTAATGTTAATCCAAGCCAGACAAAGCCTGTCTTATTCAAACATGCATGCCAGAGAAATTAGAGGCTAGAAGAGGAAGAGTGTTAGTTTTTGTTCCAGTGTAATCGAGGTGTGCAGGTGTTGAGCGATTGTTACATGAGCCACTGCAATGATCTACCACCACCAACAACAGCTGTAATAACAAAAACCCATAAAACCTTTTTGCAACATTTCATGTTGTCTTGAAGACATGTCCACTTGTTGAAACGTTTGCTTCAGCGCACCCCCCCTTCCCCGTTAACAAATTTCTCATCACAAGCTGTGGGATCTGCTTGACCAGTACTTCATCAAATCTCTATTTCGCTCCGAGTTTGAAAATAAAAGCACTTCAGAATGGACTCCGAGTTGTAATGCGCTTCTCTGAAAGAGCCGTGCAGGTGTGTTACGAGCGCTTAATTTTCACCAGCCTATTAGATTGGGTTTACATAGCAGTCAAAAACATCCTGTTAAACGTAAGATAAATAAAGCTTCTGAATAGAGCTCAAACAAGTTAAATGTAACTTGATGCTCTAGAATCTTATTGGCTATTGCTTTGCTTGGTCGGGTGTCGGCAGATGGGTATCTTGGCAGAGGGATAAGCACTGAGTTATCAGAAGTGAGCAGCAGGGAGGAGATTAGATTGTTTCCTACCATGCTGACTGGCCCATCCCAGTTTGTCTATCGCGTCAATGTTACTTGCACAGCATCCTTAGGCACAACGTTGTCGTCATCATAATCCTTGCAGACACACTTATGGGTGCACAGATGTGTGCTGATCACCATCTTATCTTTCATTTAAGTTTACTTCCGTGGACCTTGGGCTGTAATGGAGTTTCTTGAGAGAAAAATTATACTGTTACTACAAACTCGGATGTGGGAAATAAGCTGCAGTACATAATAAACAGTTTTGAATATATAGACTTATATGTTTCTAGTTACAAACTGCACATCTAACCCTTTATTGACGAGACAATAAAATACTTGCAAAAAACATTTATTTTCTACATATTTACAATTGTTGCAACAAGACTAAGCATATTTCATAAAAAGAAAAAAATTCTGCGTATAGTTTCTAAAATACAGCTTTGTTGCCTGTAGGCAACAGTAGGCACGAGCCATAAGGTAGGCTTCACTGCGTGCTTCTTACGGGTTAGTGTGGAATTTGTGCATGCACTCCTTCCCTGGAGTGAAACAAAGGTGTACGTTGCACTTCCTGCACATGACTCGCGTGATTCCTGTGCAGTTTGGGTATTTACAACGGCCTTTTTTTGCAGAAAACATCGGGAGATGGTCGATAGTGTCGAGCCTTATCTCCTTGCATGGAACAGGAGCTGATGGCCCGCGTCGCTTCTTCGCCTGCAATTCATTCTCGACTTTTGATGGGCCCAATGGTCGCTTCCTCGAAGGGGTTGATACCTTTCCCTGTTGCCTCAGCGCGCAGGCAATGTCTGCTTTGAATGTTAGCAGGGTCATTTGGTGCTTGCAAGGCACGTTAGCCGCGGTGGCATCTCGGCGGTAGAGGAGCCAGCAGTTGACAACTACTACATCCAATAAATGAAAAAAGAGCCTCCTGTACCACTTTTTTGACCTTACGTGGATGCGGTAGAGTGCCACAAGCATGTCCAAAAGATCAACACCTCCCATGCATTCATTGTAGATGCCGACAATAGCAGGGCGGGGTATGCTCACAGTCGTTCGGGTCTTCTTGTCGAAGCGCTTCACAGCCTGCTCGGGTGACGCTGAAGCAAACGTGGACAGTAAAGTCACGGGGCGGTTGTCAAACCACTTGACAGCCCTCAGGCTCACCCCTTCAAATGTGGTCGTCATTTCCACGTAAGAGCCACGCCCTTTCTTCTTCAGATCTTTGTCGGATGGAAGTTTGCATCTTTTTAGGCGAGCCTCGTGTACTGTCCCTACGGAACTTATTCCAACCTTCTTGAGGACTACTTGTAAGTCCACGCCGCAAAACCAGTTGTCAAAATACAAGATGTACTCTAGACCGCGGGGCACGATACTCGCCATTCGCAGAACGATGTTGCCACTTGCGCCGATGTCGGGAAAACCTTGCTGAAGAAGAATTTTGCCTGTGTAAACTTCAAAGTTGTACATTATGCCGCGTTCATCGCAGAGAAGAAAAACCCCATTTTTTGGGCTTGTTGGGCAAATACTGCTTCAATGAGCTGCGGCCTTTGAACGGCACCAGCAGCTCATCAACGCATAGCTTTTGAGATTTTGGTACCTCGTGGCATTTGGCGACCAGGTGGTCCAACAGGGGCCGCTCTTTGTAAAGCCTGTCACGTTCGGGGTCATTCTGGTCTGGTGCTTCCTGGTTGTCACTAAAATGCAGTGACTGCTTGATTTCTTCCCACCTGTCTCTCGTCATGGTGTCGGCGACTTGACTGACTCGGAACCTCTGCGACCAGTACATGCGTGTTTGAGGCAGCTTCATAAGCGACATAGTGAGCACTGTACCGATGAACTGCTCTAAATCATTGACTGTCATTGAAGTAACTTTGTTGGGATTCCTCTGAGCGCTATACAGGGAGGACTGCTCACAGATGTGAGACAGGAATGTCACGTCAAAGAAGTTTCTGAAATAGGTGATGGGAGACTCCACCGGGGATGGGTAGGGTGGTACGTCTTTCCACTCAGGCATGGCATTACTCAAGGAGCCTCGGCCAGCCTCCCATGTGGGAGAATCCTTCGAAGGCTTGGGGATTTCTTCAAGCGCATTGTCGAAACTGCCCGCGCTTGGAGCTCCTGAGACCTCTTCATCCTCACTGTCAGCTGGCGGTGCTGTAAAAATTGCACAGAAAATGATTGCGATGTCAACAAAGTGCAAGAAAAAGCCAACAAAATTAAAAATAATAATTACTCTCGTAAATTTCATCAGTGCTCTCTGTGTTCAGTAAAATCTATTTTCTGCTAAAGAAAAAAGTTGCGGAAATACTGTTTCACTAGCTGGCCTAAACAATGACACTGTTTGAAATACACAGAGCCAGCCTGCTGCAAAGCGTAAACGGAATGCCAGACTATCCGCGTCCCACTCAGAGCTGCCGAACTTGGGAACACCTAGAAGCGTCTGCTGTGAGAGATGCCGACAGCCTCAAGTGAAAGCGCCGGGCCACACAACCTTTTGTAATACAAGCAACCCCTTCCTTCACCTCATGCCGCTGCGCTTTATTATGCAAGAGACCGTACTTTATTCGTCAATCGAATGATAGCGTAGTTCCGACTGACACGACAAAATAAATACTTACTTGTCCGGGCTAAAACAGCGTTTTCAGGCTCTTCGTCGCTCGATGAATCCAGATCAGAGTCATCACTGTAGTCGGGGGGCACTTTTGCAGCAAATTTTCCATAAAATGCACCCGGGTCCGTTCTTCGAAATCGTTGCTTTGTCTGCGTGTCCTGCGTGAGGTGGTGCAGCGATAATGGAAGCAGTGCAGGCAGAGGAGCGCGCTACCAGACAAAATTGCACAGCGCAACCTTAGCGGGATGAGAAACACAGCATTGTGCCTCGTGTTGCCTGTAGGCAACAAACACCTCACGCGCCCATACGGGCCCAAATTAGCAGCGCCGTTTATATAATTTGACAACGAGGAAAGTGAGCCATTTTTCTAAGTCATTGCAAAAAGCCAGAGAGAGAACAACGAATGCTTACCCGGAAATAGATGTTCAAACGCTGAAGTCGCGTCGTAGAGCGCTCTGCAGAGATTTGCGCGCCAAACTTTTTTCTCTTCGTCGGTTTCTTAGTTACAAATCAGAGGGCGCCACACATCTATGTGGCAGTAACATGGGGAGACTTTGGAGGGAAAAAGAAGCTCGCGAAACCGAAAGTGATCCAAAAAAAAAATATTTTCCGCTATGTTTCCTGTGGGCAACGTTCGTCAATAAAGGGCTAATGAATAAAATTCTGTGCACCAACAATGCCGAAGCATACCTCTGGCTGGGCTTCCTCGCAATGTATGCCGGCATTGTGGGAAAGTGGCACACAGCGTGTTGATATATTGGAGATACTGAAACTTCTTATGCCACATATTCTGCATGCTGTGATGAAGTGTTGCTAAGTTACATATGTATACTTACAATTCTAATTCCGAAGACAGTGGCGGTCTGTGGCTGTTATTCTGGCTTTCCATTGCTAAAATTAACTTGACATGTTTTTTAAAGGGACCCTGAAACACTTTTTTTAGTAACAATGGAATTATTTCACTGGAAGAGCTTGTTGCCTCACAAGTTCAATGCCTCAAAGATATTAAGAATCCGTCCAGTACGAGCAGAGTTACGATTTGTTACACGCTGCAATTGCATTCCCCCTATCCCGTCCCGACGAAAACACTGGAGGCTAAGCAGAGAGGAATGGGAGGGGCAAACAAAATATGTCACGCGCGCTTCGGGATCTTGAGCACTTTTTTCTTCTTTTTTTCTTAGAATACGCAGCCTTTTTAGCGCAATCGCGCACGCATGCGTGGGCAAGTGACAGCCTTTCGCGGCGATCTCTGTAACCACCGAGCACGCCATGTTCAAATCAGCTAATGTCTGATATATGGGCATTCTGGAAGTGATTTTTAAGCGTCTTTCGTCATTTGTTGTGGGAAGAGAAAGCAATGTTTAGCTGACTTTGATAATTTATTGTGAATTCCGGATCATGTGCTGTGTTATAGCATTTGGCTCGCATGTTCTCGGGAGCCTCTACTACCGATCGCCAGCGTTTTCTGACCGTGCTCAAAAAGTGTTGCAGGGCCCCTTTAAAATGAGTGGCTTGCTGTTTCCTTCTTACTATTGAGGTACATGCATTCCACTTTATCTACGATGGCTTCTAACCACAGCATCACTAAATCTTAGTTTCAGGTCTGTCAAATGAAACTCAAAGCGAACTGGGTTAACGACATGTACTGAACACGGCATGAATTTGATCAAGTTAACTATTTGATCAGTTGGCATCTTCTTGTTTTTTTGAAATACCAGCAGGACAAAACACATTTTTATGACTTGTCTCTTTCTTTCTTTTCCTCTCTCTCTCTTTATTTTTTCTGTCCCTCCTTCCTGTTATGCCTGGCCTATTATTATGGGCACAAAACTTGGTGCTTTCATTCCTCTCTGTTTGGGTAAAAGTATGTTGTCAGTCATATTCATGTCCAGCACCATTTATGGAACACTGAACAGCATTCATAGCAAGACTGAGCCTTACTATGGTGGAACTTTTTATATGTGCAATGCCTGATGTATTCCCTAAAGCTTTGCTTTGTTTCATTTACAATTTCACTTCCGGTTGCCTCTTGTTACTCAACTTGTAGACTATAATGCCAAAGCGAAGGAATCGTAAGAAGAAGGTCAAGAAAGGAAATGGATTTTCAAAGGAGGATACTCCAGAGCAGTCTGAAGACGGTACGTTAAACTATTCATATTATTTATGGCGACGTAGGCTGTCTTACAGTGTAGCCATAGAAATCATTTTGCTGATTGACACATTTGTACACATTTTTGCTTCTTTTGATTGTTGTCTTGTCATTCACTTGAAAGCATACTCTAAAAGAGCATGTTGGGAAAAAAATGTGCGGTATGAATAATATGTTCTTGTAACTTGACAGATATGTTAATTCTGCATTTTATATTTCTTACCATCTCAACGAGAGGTCTAAAAACCTAGGCTTAGATCTGGACTGTACAAGCCTGATCATAAGTTGCATGAAACTTTCAGACTGTCAGCTGATCTGCAGTGCCTTGTTAAAATTTGTTCACTGAGCAGTGTAACGTTTTGCTTTGTGCAGACTACCTCCTCTCAAAGATTTCTCTGATAAGAAATGCTATGTAGTGAAAGAGTGCTTCACCACGTTTTTATAGGTTGTAGTGTTTAATCGCACTAATTGTGAGGAAAAATCATCAAACAGGGAGTGCCATGGCTGCATCTTTATTGATTGCCGTAATTTCAACAGAAAATGTGAAGACTCCCGTTCAGTTTTGGAAAAAGACATCTAGCTCAGAGTCGGAGCTTTCCGATTCTGAGGGAAGTCAGGTAGTGAGGCAGCGACATCTGCAAGCAAGTGTTCGTCGTAATGTCTACTTCACTCTCACTTATATTACCAAGGTAAGCACGACTGGGTCTGCATCTTCTCTTTACTACTTGCGCTGCCTGCACAATGAAGTGCTGACAACATGTTGGCATTCTACCACACGAGTGGCTGTATAAACACTGTATTCCTCTCTAGCCACGAGCACAAACCTGGGTCACTGTGGAATTTCGCCTGCAAAGCAGGAATGGTTGCAAGAGTGTAATGTAGCCCGGTTTTTATGTTGCGTTTTTTTTTTTTTTCACTGCAAAAAAAAAAAGGAATTGATGACTCACTTTTCACGATGAAAACTTTCTTTGCCTGAGTGTGCATCGGTTAATTTTTTTACAGACATTTTTATACTAGTGCCCGGTCACAGTTTTGGTTTCAGGGAGGACTGAAAGAGGTGGTACCAGGGTGGTTTTTTTGTAAACACAATTCATCATATGAGTATAAAAACAGTGTTACACCTGCCGTGCTCATTGCATTGTGCACATTATGTTGGCAACTGCAGCGCAGAGCTAACATCACAGTCAAAATGAACTCGTGACTTAGGCAGGTGTTGGTTGTTTACATTAAAACTGAAGTGATCTTAATGTCACGATGTCAACCTCTCCACACTCAGTTGCATGGCTTACTTGTTAAAAGGGGTTTTAAATATGTTCTAGGCTATATTACATTAGTCTTTAATATTTTGTGCAACATATGTATGCGCTCACATAATTTGGTATTGCAGATTATGTTGTTTTCAAGATTTCAAGTCAGTACTCCTTTAACATTGACCTGTGTGCCACTAACTAGCATACAAACATTATCAATTCCCATTCCATTCTTTCTCGTTCTTCTTCTTTACACCTCTTTGTACATTTATTTTATCTTGTGATATTAAACCATTATTCTAGGGTGAGCAAGCATTTGAAAAAGAATTGAAACTTTTTTATTTTTTTCCTAAGATCTTTTATAATATTTGAATTTAAGTTAATTGCATGGTTAATCTGCCATTTCTGTTTTCCGCTAGTGCATGGAAAATAAAAGTAAAGGAATATTTGTCTTGCCTTGCTAGACAATTTCACCGGTAACCTTCACTTGGTAAACTGTGTAACAGGAATCCCACACAGTCAAATTATTGGTGGCCTTTTCATTAGTATTTTCTCGCATATAACCTGCATGAAGAAAACACCAAATTTACAGCCAAAATAAAAAAAATTCTGGTTTGCAAAGGTGGCTTCATGGCAGCTCTTCACGGCTATGTAAGGAAGCTAGCTTTGCATCAATACTTGGGTATTATCTGTAGAAAATGTTTCGTGAATCACTGTTGAATGTCTGGACTATGTGCAAGAAAAGTGCCGTATTTACTCGATTCTACCGCGCCCTCGATTGTAACGCGCACCCGATTTCCACCGCGAAAAAAAAAAAAAAAAGTAAGACATCGATTGCAACGCGCACCCATTTTTCTCGCTGGCCCGCACGATCACACCACTCGAAAAAACGGCTCCTTTCGGGAGCGTCTTCCGTTTAAATATGAGGTACGGGGGAAGCTTGGGCCTATCTGATGTGCAACGGAGCATTGCTGTCACTCTATATTTACCGTGGCCCGATGTCAGCATGCAAACTTGCTTCGCCCCTTTCTTTTCGACGGTTGTGGTGCCAGGCATGTCGAAGTAAAGAGGCGTCTGATCGGCATTCCCGATTTGCCCAAGCAGGTAGCCGTTGTTGCGCCGCAAGTTTAGGACGAACCTCTGAAAACTGTGAAGCTTTTCATCGTACTCCTCCGCAAAACTTTTCGCATGTGCATGTTCCCCTTCGGAGGGAAAAGCCTTTCCTCTTCATAAAGTTAGTTAGCCAGCACCTGCTCGCTTTAAACTGGCTTCGCATTGGACCTTTTTCTAAGACTAATTGCATAGCCCGCACTTGAAGCAGTTCTGTCGTCACGGGCCGCTGTGCCGCTCGCTGCTCAAGCACATACTCGCCGAGCAGCTCTTTAATTTGCGGAAACCGACCCTGCTGTGGTCCATTGAAGCCTTTGCGTGAAGCTTTGCTCTCGACAATCTTCTACTTTTGTTTCCACCAGTCCCGCACGCACATTTCGGGAACTCCGAACGACCGCGATGCGGCCCGATTTCCATCCGTTTCTGCACACGCGATGACTTTTCTTTTAAAAGCGGCATCGTGATGCACTCGAGTTTTTGGAGTCGGCCCTTCCACGCCGTCGATGCAAATGCACTACTAGATGACGAACTCCTCAGCACACGTACGAAGTGCCGCACATGGGAAACACATAGGCAGAAATAGCCGACGCGCCATGCCGACGCACGTAGGGGGCGGCCATTTTGGATTTGCCGATGGCAATAGATTGACCGTAATTTTTTTGTTCGTACTCGATTCTAACGCGCATGCGATTTATGAACTCGCTTAACCGGAAAAAAGGTGCGCGTTAGATTCGAGTAATTACGGTAGGTGTGCATTAGCAGTGCCTGACACATTTTCGGAATAATATTTGTGCTACAGTATATCGTGTGGTTCAAGGGTCTTCCAATCTACCTTGCATTTGTCATTATAGGTTGTTGACAGCCGAGAAATGTTTGGCTACTGGCTTCATTTTCTTCCCGATATACCGGTTACCATCGGTGCACCGCAGACTCAGACAGTTCTTTTGACCATTTTGAAGGATCCCAACCCACAGGTGTGTGTGTGTGTGTGTGTGTGTGTTTGAGCACTTTGAGTGCATAACATTCTCGCAATAGCTGAAAGGAAGTTTGGCTTGACAATGCTTCTTGCAGCCTGTGTAGAGTTCATGAAGTTGTCAATAAAGATACACTATACGTGGCTGTTGAACAAAATAGTGTCATGCAGGACTATTGCCTTTTGGGAACTGAATTTACATTATCAAATTTCTGTATAACTACTTTATGTAAGGTTGCTATTTAGGCCTGTAAATGTGTCATTTTCACTGATTATGACAGTGTATAACAAACAAGAACAACAGCAAAACTGAAAAGTAGAGATGGGCGAATAGTAAATTTGAGGTTCAAAGCATGTTTGAAGGGAACCAGTGGTTTGGTCAGACGATTTCAAATAGAATAATTGAGATAGCATACATCACACATTGCCAAGGAAAATTGTCATGTCCATTGTGACCCATCTAGCTTGCCCAATATTTTGAAGAATTATAAATATGGCCGCACAAATATGGCTTTTATGGCTCAAGGTGAATTCAAAGCGAATTTGAATGCTAGCAGGATTTGAATAGCAAGAGGACTGATTTTTGGGGCTTGTTGTTGCATAGCAGATAACTTAGGCATACACACAGAAGGATAGAGTTTTTTGATGACGGTACAAGTGCTTACTTCCAGCTAATCATATATTCACAAAACTGTATATTATTTACACTATCTTTCATGGCGTCATGGCAGTAATTCCGACATCAATTGAGCACGCTCAGAAACTGTATTTCTTTTTTATATGATGAAATAATGGAAGGTGCACTGACACATGACTGACCGGCTATTGTAATCAAATCAGCTTCTATCGGCACCCTCATACCTTGGCTCTTATTTTTCGCTGCCACCATGAGCATATGATACAACAATTTACTAGGTTTTTTGTTCGTTAGCCTGCACACATCACAGTGTCGAGAAAGATTGCCATCGCGATAGTTCCCCACCTTCCTCTCGTATTCCATTAGTCTTTGGTTCATGGAGGTAAAGGGCAATTTCACAGCATAGCAACCCCATGCTGCAGTGAAGTTTTTCTTTTCAGGATGGTTACTTGTGCTAAATTAAGGCTTATTCATTAGTTTTGAACACTTCAAAATTTTGGAAATTATGAATATATGTCAAAGTGAATTGGAACCGCTATAATATATGCACAGGCCTGCTTAAGTGATACATATATGCTAAAGTGGTTCCTGTTCTCTTCTGCTAGTAGTTCAATGTCGACGCCATGCATATGCCACTTATGTCTTGTGTGTGTCCTTGTCTTTTACACACCTCCATAATTTATATGACTTAAAAAACTTTTACGACCTCTGACTTTCACAATTCTTTTATCCTTACTAGCAAGGAAGGAGGAAAATTTTCAGCACTTGGGACTTTGCTCTCAAGTTGCTTGTGAATAGGCACAGTACAGACCTCATTGCACAACTAACTACCTTTTTGTTCATTTGTAGGTTCGAGTTGCAGCTCTAGATTTGTTGACCGCCTTTGTGACCAAGTACAAGCCATTCCTTGGGCTTGCAGCTTATAGGTAATGCAGAATGTGTTTCTCTCTTACATATCTCTTACATATTTCTAGTTGTTTCAGTTTAAAGGTGCGGGCAGTCTTGGTGAACCAAACAATGTTTAAATTTATGTTCTGTTTTTATTTCTGCATTGTCTGCTGCACATCTTTCAAGATGTATACAAACTTTTTGTACACCTTCAATTAACGAGTGATTAAATGGATTCCATTTCTGGTTATTTTCTTTCTCTCCTACATATTGCTTGTAAATGTTCATCTATTGTCATATGGTCTCAACTTTGTTTCATTTTATAAAGAAATTTTGAAATCCACATTAGCAGCAGATCTTGGAGTTGTATGTAAAATTAACAAAGCATATTCGTGGTAGCGGTCGCCCGAGCTTCTCATGCAAAATTTAACCTATCAGTTTTTCTAGTGCACGCCTAATCATCTAATTGAATGATTTTGTTCTCACTCACTTGATATGAGAAATCAGTGCAGTGTCTTTTGATGAGGCCACTATAGTAAACTCCCGTTAAGACGAACTCTGTTAAGACGAATTCTCGCTTAAGGCGAACAACACAGTAGTGTATGTTTGGTTTCCTGTGAACTTGATGCAAAAAAAAAAAAAAAATCTGCAGAGGGCATTACAGAGTTAAGATGAAAGACGAATCGCGTAACAGGCCTCTTCTGTTAACACAAACTCTCGCAGGGACCACCGATAGGTATTCTGCAGAACTAACATTGCAGTCTTGATAGGGTCATTCAGGCAAACAAGAGAAAGCAAAATAAAAAGAAAAGTTGAAAAAAAAAACTAAGAACAAATCAAAATAAAATTGTGGCATGGAGAGAGTAAGCGAGATAAGTGGAAAAGAAAGGTCAGCGCATAAAGCTGGTGTCTCCCTCACCCCTAGCCTGTATGTGGAAGGGCTGTCTTTACCAGAAAAGCAAGCAACAAAAACCGTTCGTCCTTTTGTATTCTCTTTGTATTCTGTAGTTGGCCAACAGTAGTAGAGTGGGGAATGGAAGAACACAAGAGCTTGGCTAAAGGAGAAAATGCAAGAGGGGGGCCGAAAAAAAGCCAAATGAAAACAGGAAAAAAGATTGTCTGTGCATTATAATTGCGTGAAACCAAAACCACATGTGCGGCACTAGCACTTCCGTCAGAGGAGTCGGATGCATTGTCATCGCCGTCACGCAATGGCTCCTGAGCACACGCTGTGGTCAGTTTGCATAGGGCCTGCATGCATCGTATCTGTTCTCAGTGAAACGCAACAAGTTGTGATGCATCACTTTCGTTATGAAAGTTCACGACTAAGGAATGTCATTTTTTACACTAAATATAGCTGAGTGGTGTCTTTTATGTGTGCCTGAGGCTGGATATCGTCAGTGGCGTAAACGGAGATCTTTAGCTGCACGTCGTTCAGGAAAAGTTACTGCGGACTGAAAATAAGAAAATATGCGAACCTCAAAGGGAGGCTTCTAGACTTTCATAAGCAACTTGGCGTATATGGGCTTTATCAAGGTAGCGGTATACAAGGGAAGTGTTTCAAAAGTGATAGCAAAGCCAGTAAAACAGCCTCTAAGATGGTGAACAGCCAATAGAATAAATTTTCTTTCTTTGAAGGAAAATTGTGCTTGTCTCTTCTTTTTTTAATATTTTTCTAATACCGTATTTTTGCACGTATAACCCGCACCAAAATCCCAAAAATTTCAGTGGCAAAGTGGAAGTGCGGATAATACGCGGGGTTTTTTCTATAGTGCTGCTTCTTAGCAATGCGTGTTGTGCTGTGAAGCCCCTTAACAGTGTAGCGAAGGCTACGGAGGCGGTTTCCGCAAATTCGTGTTGCTCCGCAAGTAGCACGGCAGCTTGCGGCCGATTTGGTTTCGCTTGCTTGCATTATTGAAGCGTTTAGAAAAACATTTGGGGGAAAGACAATTCGATTGTTCAGTGTAAAATCTCACTGTCACACCACAATTATATTTCATGGACGTTCGCGAGAGAGATAGAGATATTATCAGTAAATTTATGTACTACTTTTTGACGCGGTAGCAGGCATGCATTTCGGTTCTGTTGTTCCCACGGTGCTGTTACAGTGTACTAGAAAGGGTAGTGCTAAGTCGTGGAAGCCTAAGTCGATCTGTTCTGTCACCATGAGTAGTGTACGGCGGCAGTCCTTCACGGCACAGCAAAAGCTTAAGATCATCACTGTCGCCGAGGAATTCGGAAATCGCAAAGCGGGAAGACGGCACGATGTGGACGAGTCCTGCATGCGACTGTGGAGAAAGAAGAAAGAGAGCCTACAAGCCGCGCACCGCGACCGTAGGTCATTTCGTGGCCCCAAGACCGGTGCCTACCCTGAGCTGGAGGCGGAGCTAGTAAAGTTCATCGAAGATGTGAGAAGCAGGGGTCACGCCGTATCGGCCGAGATGGCCCAAGTGGAAGCGCGGCGACTTTCGAGAGAGCTGGGCCTACCTCACGAGTTCCATGCGAGCCGCGGATGGCCGCACCGCTTTATGAAGCGGCAAGGACTCTCAATCAGACGGCGGACTACAATATGTCAATGCTTGCCGGCTTCTTATGAGGAGAAGCTGCCCAAGTACCAGAGATATGTAATTGGCCTGCGAAAGCAGCACAATTACATTTTCTCGCAAATCGGCAATGCGGATGAAACTCCTGTTTATTTTGAAATGCCGTTGGACACAACGATTGAGAAGACGGGCAGCAGTTCGGTGAGCGTGCTGACCGGCGGTAACACGAAACTGCGCATCACAGTCTTGCTTTGTGCCCTCGCCGACGGGACGCAACTGCGACCGTACGTCATCTTGAAAAGGAAAACTCTACCAAAGATTCATTTGCCTGCCGGTGTGGTGGTGCGCGCACACAAGAACGCATGGATGAACAGTGACTTGTTCGTGGACTGGATCAAGATGGTATGGGAGAAGAGGCCCGGTGCGATGCTCGCAAAGAGGTCCATGCTCGTTCTTGACTCGTTCCGCGGCCACATAACTGAGGAAGTGAAGGACCGCCTTTCACGCAACAGCACAGACTTAGTTGTTATACCCGGTGGAATGACGTCAATGCTGCAGCCTCTAGATGTGTCGCTTAACAAGCCCTTCAAAGCGCATGTCAAGCGCTATTACGACCGAGTGGATGGCCGGAAGGCCTCTACGACTTGACGCCGACAGGACGAGTCTGAAGGCCTGATATTGCCCTATTCTGCAAGTGGATTGTCGAGGCATGGAAGGCCATTCCAGGTGAGATGGTGCGAAAAAGTTTCAAGAAATGCTGCATCACAAACATCATGGATGGAACCGAAGATGACCTTGTGCATAACAGTGAGGACTGCGGCTCAAGTGATAGCTCTAGCGAGAGCAGCGACAGTGGGTGAATTGTGACTGTCCTTGCAGACAGCGTATTCTGCTTGCTAAATAAAGCTTTTTCTGTCTACATATGTGCTATGTTGCTTGAGCAGTAGCTTTTGTACAACCTTTCCTGTATATGAAATGTGCGGGCAATACGTGAGGATTTTTTTTTTCTCTTTCTCGGTGAGCTGAAAGTGGGGGTGCGGATTATATGCAGGTGCGGGTTATACATGCAAAAATACGGTAATCAAATCAGGGTTGCTCGACTGTTTTATTGTTAAAATGTTGTAGCAATATATTTATAAGTATATTTATTATGAACTTGTAAAATTGAGTGCTCATTAGATTAGTGTAAATACTCTACTGAAAAGCATAGTTTTTATCAAGCCGAGAAAAATAAACGCTTTTTCTTGTATCTTTCCTCCCCATTGTAAGTGTAGTTCATTCAATGTAAGTATAACATTCAACATATTTTCACACACTTGCCAAGAAAACAAACTTCTGATAAGACGAACAAAGGATTGTGGTCTCTTTGAGTTTATCTCAAAGTGAGTCTACTGTATTCTTTTCCTTATAAATATGACAGTGGCTCAAAAAGGACGGCATTTACCACTTTGTCAGAAACTGTGGCGGCCATCTTGGGAGAGGTGCATCGGTGTCTTCATCTAGCTATTATTGCGGAAAACAATTCGGCGCAGATTATCCAGCTTCTCAAGGTCAGTATGCTCCCCTCTGTGGGCATTTAAAAAGCATGTGGAAACATTTTCTGGCTCATTCTTGATTCCCTCATCATTTCTGTGTATATTGATCTCAAGCAGTCTGTTTAATGTAACATACATTTCTGGTTTCTCAAAAAGCACTTTATTGAAGTTGTTGATAGGTGGACATGTCCTTGTTTAGTTGGTTTGGTTTTGTTTGTATTTGGCAATCATTATTCATGATACCCAGTGTAAGCCACACTATCCCTATCTTGATATGCTGACTTGCGCGAGATGCAGAAAAGTGCCAATGGGAATTCAGTCTGGAGTTGGCTTTCATGAGGTCAGATGTAGTTCGTGTGATTGAGTATTATGAGTTGCTTCTCAAGTTGTTCTAGTATTTTCTGCTTATGGCTGCTAATAGGGGAGGGGGGGTGGCTTTTATGAATCAGTTTTGTGCAGTATGAGTGCCCTCATTGGTCATTCGAGGTGTATATGTTAATTTGATGTCATATTTAGTCAAATTTTCTATCTTTCTAATATGTATATTCTATTACAAATAACTTGCAGAAATCAAGTGTTCTTGTAATGATCAAAACCTTTTGTGTACTATTTTGGAAGTGTACCATACGATAAACAGGGCATTTCGTTAGCATGAGTTTTTGCCTCTGCCTGTTTCTTCCATGGCACCGCCCAATTCTTTGTTGGCAAGAGCAGTGCCTAGCAGCTGTAGTCACGGGATCTCCATATCATCGCTTGCAACCAGAACTGCTGAGTCGCGTCATCAGTGATGTGGCCATCTTTATGGACAACAAAGGTTAGGTTTGCTGAACTGTCTGACTTGTATTGCTCCCCAAAAACTTGTCATTTGAGATACAGTTGTTTAAGCTCATTTGGCCGTTGCTGCCAAATTCATTGAAGCAGAGGAAGGAGACATTTGTGCCTGTGCGGTCAACTGCAGTAGCGAAGCTGATGAGCAGCTGTGTAATTCAGCTGTTGATGCTTTGCCAAGTTTTGACAATTTTCTCTTTGTTCCCCTATTTTATTTTCATCTCTTCTTCCTGTTTTCGTGTATGTATTTCTTTCTTTGCCTCTGTTTATTTATCTTCCATTCTCTTTCTCACTCTATTGTCCTCTTGCTTGGTCTTGCTATCCTTCGTTTCTGTCTCTCTCTATTTGTTGCTTCTCTTTCTTTCTATCACTTTCTGTCATTCTCTATGCCTACCTCTCTTTATTTGATTCTTTTTTTTTCTCCTCCTTTTTCTTTCTGTCTTTCATTTTCTCTTGCTCTTTCTTTATGCTATAATTTACCCTTACTCCCGTCGCTTGTCCATACTGTTTTTGGCTACTAGCCTTTGAATTGTGGGTACACTGGTTCGAATGTTACCTCACGAACAAAATTTTTTCCCTTGAATTTATCTTTTTTTTCTTTCTCTCTCTCTGTACTCGTCTCGCCGATCAGAGTTATTACATCCTGAGAGCATACAGTGCACAGGGTTTGACAGCGAAGCAGAAGATGGTGAAGAGACGCGTGTTGGTCTCGCATAGCAGCTGCAGCACAGCTGTGGCATTAGTGACTGCTAGAGAATGTGAGGTGTTCAACAGGTATTTTTGCACACACAAAGCTTTTACATGTGGCTAAAGCAGTTTCACTGCTAAACTTTACAGCATATTTATAGGCTTGTAGCACATTTAAAGACTATACAGCAGTGCTTTTCGTTTGGGTTCGTTACAAGAGTCATGCTACGGTAATATCTATGAATCAGTCCAGCGGCATGGTTTTCCGTGGGTTCAATAAGGTTGGTTAGAAAGAACACCGCAGTACCTCAGGCATAGCTGGTACATTGGAATTTCGGTCAGATTAGCATCTTGAAAGACAGCAATTTCACACAAAGGGGGGTGGGGGGTGAGCTTTGCATAATTTTATTTGAAGTGGTGGAAAATCTAGTAATATTTGTTAGTAACCTTTGTTATATGCTTATGTAAGGCAATGCAGCTGTGTTAAGTGTCCATCAAAAGAGTGTGTATGGGCAGGGTTGTCATGTAGTATATAAAAAGATATCATTTATTTTATTATTTTTATTTACAAGTACCTTACAGGCTCCTCGGAGAGCATTGTGTAAGGGGAGCATCACAAAAAGAACTGGGAAAAAATGCGATACATGAGTCTGAAAATTGCAACAGTAACGTACTTGCGAAACGGTGAAACAAATTGAATTACATGGCAAAATAATGCTAAGAATAATACTAACTACTAACTAAAAGCACAATAATATGAAAACAATACTGAGGAAAAGTAAAAATAAGACACTAACTATTAACTAACAGAGTAATACTAAGAATACAATATTCAGAAAGTAGTGAAATAATAATACTCATTTTTTCAAAAAGAGCGGCATGCAAGCTGTGTAAAAAATGTACATCACTTGTGCACTCATAGATACAAGAAAACAAAGTAGAAAGGAATTCGTAGCACGGAGCTTCGCACATACTTCGCACAACGAAAAAAAAAAAAATCCGTGACGCGATACGGCTTGATGTATAATGTGATGATTGTGAATATTTGTTACGATGAATGCTGTAGGGTCAAGAGTTGTTCTAAATTTATCTTTATCTGCTTGCACAACAGTGTCATTTGAAAGCGAATTTTATAGGCGAATGGCTTGTGGTAAAGCCGAGAAATTAATTGCGTGAGTGTTTCCATAGATGCGATTGTAGCTTAGGTCATTGTGAAGATGTCGTGATGTGCAGGACACACGTACTGATGGTAAGTCTGATGGCTTTTTTTTGGTAAACGTATCTGTGGAGTAACGACAAGAGCGCCATGTCATGACGATTACTTAGAGTTTGAAAGAAAGGTTGAGTTTTATCTGCGTTACGCTTGACTGATAGTTGTAATCGCGGGAAATGAATCGACTAGCTCAATTTTGGACAGCTTATAACAAGCGGATTAGGTATTCTTGATAAGGAGACCATATGGGAGACGCGAATTTAAGCTGCGGACGTACAAATGTTAGAAATGCGAGTTTGTGAGTATCAGGTGGGCAGTTACGCAAGTTGCGGCGAATATACCCGAGGGATTTGGAAGTGTGTGCGCATATGGTTGTGATACGAAAGATCCAGGAAAGGCTTGGTGTAAGATGAATGCCTAGATATTTGTGCACTGATGCCCTATACACTAAGTTTGTATTTATGTAGTACGAAAAGCTATGATTTGAATTTTTACGCGAGAATGTCATTATTTTACATTTAAATGTAAAAAATGTAAGTATTTACAAGCTTTTACCAGTCATACCACAATTAATCTAACTCCAGCGAATTTTCTTGGAGAGACAGGTTATTGGTTGCACCAGATGATTAGTAAATAAAGTATCCTCAAACAGGTGTACGCTTATCCTCGAACAGGCATATGCTCGAGTAATCATCGATGAAAAGGTCAATATTACAGATTGAGAAAGATTGTTCCAGGACTACTGCATAGTTGGAAAATATCGTGTGACACCACATTTTTTTTTTTGTATCTACAGTGGGATACAGTTGTATGTGCTATACTCACTGGCTGTGGCTTCTTGTTCCAAGCACATTCATGTGACATACGGTTGAGCCAGCCCCACTTTTGAAGAGATCACTCTGCTGAAGCAGTTCCTATGCGCCTTATAATATGTTTGACAATAATACTTACTTGGCCCCTACAAACTAGTAAAATGAATTATGGGAAGAGCCACAGTCTGGCCATGAGACATGCCCCAATGTAGGATGCCACATTAATTTTAACCAGCCGAGGATTCTTTGATGCTTGTTGAAAGCTTGCTACACATTTTTTCGGGCATCATGCTTACATGAGAGCGTGGCCATCTTTGGTTGGAGCTTAACCTACTACATGATGTTCAAGGCAGAGCGCCACAGCTACTGATCTACAAAGGGCAATTTTCGGCACATGTGGTGATTCTGTGCACACAACACTTCTTTGAGGATCTCCAAGCCCATTGAGCTTTTTTTTTTACTGCTTCGCCAGCAGAAAGCATAGGATTAATGGAGATCTATCACAATGCTCACACATTATCCTTCAGCATGATGTAAGAAAGGTAGGGCTCTCATAGCAGTTGCAATCCACAGATACCCACGTGCAGGTAGCTGCCTTTACTGTGCTGGGTGCAGTGGTGAGTGTGACTCCATGGCCGAAGGAAGTTGCTGCGGCGTTGGAGCAGAGCAGCCCCCCTGCTCTGAGAAACAACGGCACCGAGAGCATGAATGGCAGTGACAAGTTTCCTAGCTCATGTTGGCTCGTTGCGGCTTGCGCTGACAAGCTGCTGGTCGACACGGCCAAGCCTGCTCGGATGGTCACAACAGCAGTGCGTGTCGAAGCACTCCAGGTCATGACTAACATGTGTCAAGGATACTTTACACAGCTCATGTAAGTGCTTGCAGGAGAGTTTATACTTGCTAGCACATATGGTTTGTCATATTTGCTTGGCGCACTGTAATAAACAAGTAAAAGATGCTTTATTCCATTGAGAGTGTAGGTCTCTTGTTGAGAATAATAATTTTTTGGGTCAAATGTACATGCAGGTTATGCATCTAGTTATTCCCGTATGTTTGTTGCTAGTTTAATTGACTGGGGTCCTTTTCTGTATATCTTTTCGAAGCACTTGGGCATTACAAAAAGGCCATTTGCTGGTACTGTGGCCCCTGCACCCATTCGTTGTGACATCTACAGTCGTAGCACAAATGCGATAGCTGAAGTTGTTGTCATGAAGAAATTATTAACAACACTGCATAGTGAGCAAAGCAGTAGAAAAGGCTGCACACTTCTAAGTTGCATAATTTGTTAGAGAAAGTGTTGATCACTGCTCATTGTGGTGATAACTTCTGCCACATTGGTGTGGTGGTTACAGTGCTCAGCTGCTCACCCAAAGGTCGCAGACTTGGATTCCGGCCACGGCGGTCGCATTCTGATGAAGGCGAATGCTAGAGGCCTGTGTGCTGTGTGATGTCAGTGCACTATAAAGAACACCAGATGGCCAAATTTCTGGAGCCTTCCCCTGCGGCGTCTCTCATAATCATATTGTGCTTTTTCATGTGGAATCCCAGACATTATCACTGCTCGTTTACCAAGACTGCCTTCTCATCCAGGAGGTCGTCAGACTTTGTGGTGGCAGCAGTAGAAGCATGCCTTCAGGACACCAGTTCAATCATCAAGATGCACACGTTGAAAGTGAGTACACTGCTAAAGTAGGCTGAATAAGTGCTACAGTGGGGGGTTATTTATTTTGCGTACAGTTTAAGTGAAACAGCATTTATCCTCAAAAGTGTTTTTCTTTGAGGCTTTCTTTATTTCGTGAAACGTGTGTACACAGTGCAGGTTATTCATCCATTCAACAACCAAAGTGTGTATTGTGAAGTAAATTGCAGTTTAGTTTGAATTTTATACTTGTCTCTGTTTTGACTTGTGTCTCTTTTTGTTCTGCAAAGTGAATTTTTTTGGTTTACCTTCCTTTTTGTTGTTACTCCATTATGTTTCACAAAATAGCGGCAAGGGCTAGTACTAGCTTGTATGACTGAAATAAGGACCCCTTGCATCTGTCTTCCCACAACCACTTCAGGCAGGTTACAGTGTTCACAGAAATGCACTATGTGGAAGCTTTTACTGCAGTGTGCAATTCGTTGTTGTTGGCAGCTTCTTGGCGCATTCAGTAAGAAGCTGGCTGAGGCCATCTCTGTGAAGCAAGATGAAGATAAAGCTGATGCGCAGCGTTGCCTAGATTTGGTAAGTCTCACTGTTCAACCACGCTCAAACATTGCTCAGCTTGAAGTATGTGTAGGCAACCTCACTCAACTGGCAGCAGCATGGAAATGACAGTCACAGCCTCAGTTCTTTTGTGCCCGAGTCAAACTTGGTTCTTGCACTATGACAGTGATCTCCAGAAGATACCGTGCAACATGCAAAAATAATACTGGGGAGCCACCACTGCTCTTTTTGTTTGTTTCACTGGTTTCAAGGTTTCCGTGCTGAAGCTGCTACACAAATGATTGATAGTTTTCTGACTCTGTGCTAATGTGGTCAGGTTCACGTAACCGTGCTAGAAATAGAAAGCCTGTCGAAGGGAATGCATTCTCTAGCTACAATTGCAGGTTGTTGATTAGAGTACAGTTACCAAGAATTAAGGCTTAATTTCTTACGGCTTTTCTTTGTGTTGCCATGGAAACTGTATTTCGACATCACTGCTTGGAAGCCAAGCTCACTTGACACACCAAACGATAAAGTGGGCCAAAAAATATTAAGTCTGGTACTGCATAGGTTATTCTGCTTTTGTTTGCAATGTTTGACAGGCACTTAACTCAATTATTTATAATCCCTCAAGTAAAACTGAATTGCTTCATATTCCTCCATTGAACCTGCTATAGCAGCACTGATCATTCAGCACAAGACTTTAAGAAGCATTTGTTGATGATAATTTAACTATAAGTTTAAAATGCCAGAGAACTTATTGTTCATGCTTGAGACTGCGTATAGAAAGCTTGACTAGGCTTTCATCGTTTGCATTCTCATGTAGGCATGCTATCATTTGTTAAACGGCCAGTGCGTGTCATATTCAGTTACAGGTGTGTTGAAATCTGAGCTCTCTTTGTGTCTATTTATAAATGTCAATAGTAGCTCAGCAAATGTTGTGGACATTATAGCTTCTGGCACAAACAAGTATTTTTGGGGAAGGTCTCATTTGTTGCTGCTTGCACAACTTAAAAAAAGCTCAGCATAAAATGCCATAATATATTTTGAATGTGATAGCATTATAGGTGATCTATACAGACATCTTAAGTATCAAATAGGACATGTCAAAAGTATTGCAGTATATAACACAGCATCTAAACCAAGACTTCATGAAACGGAAGAATGTTGGCAACTAACACGTCATGTGTACTCTAGCCATTTCAAAGAGCAACATCACTTTAACACAGGAGAGAAGGGTGTGTGTTAGTGGCCTAATGGTTAGTCTAACAGTTTGGTTGGAATGACTGAGCTGCTTTGCTTAGAAAACAGGAGTGTGACCCCATCATCAGTTACTCATTTTTTTAAAGCATTGCTCACCAACTTTGCCAGCAATAAAGGTAATTAACAGGAAATGAGCATGTTATTATCTGCACTAGATCATATGTTTGTGAAAGATGCAAGGTTTGCAAATATTAACACAATAGCGTTAAAGAGCTCGTTTCGCAGAATTCTGATGCTGGTTTCAGTGTTGGCATTGTTGCTTGTGAGTGAAAAATCATCATTTTATGCGTGAAATATAAACAAATAAATGATAAAAAGTCCTTGATCAGAGTGGGGACCGAATCAGGGTTGTTTGGGTCCAAGTGGGAATCGAACCCGGGTCGTTTGCGTGCCAAGCTGAGGTTCTATCACGCGGCCTCGCCTCTGCTTGTGAAAATTGAGAAAAGAACTTCCTCTGCTTTGAAATGCAGTGAACGTAGCTTTCCTGTTTCACAAACACACACGTCTCGAATGCATGCTTCACAATGCAACATGAAATATTGCAGTAGTAATGCGTGCTACAAGCGTCCATTGCCAATGGGCGTCAGAATATGTGATTATCATAATGGCTCCATGGTTGAAAGCCGGTACCCCACTACAAAAGTCACACATGCTACTGCACCTGTTCCCTTAAGGCCACGTAATGGGCACATAGCAAATTCGAAAAAGTTTCATGCACTGTGTGTTTGAAGTGCGCACTAGGAACAGGATGTCGAATATCGCGTTCAACTCCTTAGGGTAGAGCTTTAGGGTCCCCTAATTTTTTGTTGTGGCATGTAAGAGTGTGCAAGATTTTCACATGACTTGCATGTGCACAGCTGTAGATATGTCACAGTATTCCATTTTATGCATGCATACCTAAGGGGTTAGCAATACTATGTTTTTGCCTGTCGTTTTTATACTTCTGTGGTCAGCCTATCCAACATGTTTTTGTGTCGAATGCTTAGTACGATTGCTGCTTGGTACAGAACTTTTTCAACCAATGTCAGGATATGCTCTATATGTTTCTTTTTTTATCAGGGGCACCATATTTGGTTGGACTGCCTGCTTAATGGAACACTGCAGTCTTTTCTTCAAGAGATTGCTGAACCGATGCTGCAGACAGAGAGCTGCAATTGCCTCTCCACAATTGGGTCGGTTATGTGGGATTCCTTGCCCGTAAGTGTACTTATTAAAAATAACCTCACAAGCACGAAATCTTGAGTGGGCCAGTGTCGCAGTGCCCTTGTGTCTGTAGTGAAGAAATGGGAAATCAAATTGAGGTCGCAGTTGAAGTGTAAATATGCGTTGCATAGATGCATGGATAAAAATGACTCAAGAGCACAAAACAAACACGGACATTACACAATTTGTTTTCTGTTCTTGTATCATTCTAACCTGTGTGTGTATGTACTATATCATTTCACTTCAGTATGCCATACCAACTAGGCCCCAGGGGAAGCACTTTTTGAACGTAATTATGAGGTAGCAGTGTGGAGTTTGCACATGGAGCTGAAGGTCGGCACTTTTGTTCTGTCTACAATCATTCTTCATTCTGGCATTTGTGCTGTGTGTAATTATGCTATATCTGCTATGTAAGTGTTGATTGATATGTGGGGTTTAACATCCCAAAACCACCATATGATTATGAAAAACGCGTAGAGGAGGGCTCCGGAAATTTTAACCACCTCGGGTTCTTTAATGCTCACCCAAATCTGAGCGCACTGAGCCTACAGCATATTTTGCCTCCAGTGTGTGTAAGTGTGCATATACGTGTTTACCTGCATTGTGCACGTAAACATGTGTAAGAATGCTCAAGAAGCCTTCCGTGAATTCTTCATTTGTCCATGTACACCTGGTGCCTTGATTTGCGGAGAGCGCACAAAACTCTGGATAAACTTTTAATATATCTGTGTCCTTTAGGGCAATCTTACAATAGAACTTAGAGCTGTCCAGCACATACTCGAGGTCAATAAAGTCCTTCATGTAGATAGCATGGAGCCATTACATCATTCCTTACTTCTTTGCTGCTCTGACATCGTACGCAAATGTTTTAAAGGTTCATGTGCCACTACTTGATGTATAATTGAACCCAATAGATTCTATGAACTGCTTCTTCATGATTGCTTTAATTTTGAATTTCGGTTAGCTTTATTACTATTTTTTTCACAAGATGGTGGTAGTTGGAGATATTGAAAGGGCCTATTGTCCAACAGTGGATATAGATTTGGCTGATGATGATGATTTGGTTTTTTTCGCTAGCAGTTGACTGTATGGCATAAAAGAAGGTTAATACAGCCTTAATTAAAACCAACAGATATTGACTTTTCATTACGATCATGTTAAAATGTAAATGAGCCTTTAAAATATCTTCTTTCATTCGTAAAATGAAGGTCAAGTTGTAGACTTTACTAGCATAATACACCTTGATTGTTGGTTCAGTGCTTCCTACCACCAGTAGCACTTGCATAGATATAAAAACAACTGCATGCACTTGCTCCAAGCCTTGTTTTATACAGCGTGCACTATAAACACTATGCTTGGCAGTTACACTTTTGTTGTCTGCAGTAATGGTTCGTAGTTGGCTCTCTTAAATGTTAGTGCTAAGTTATGTTGCAGCTTTCTGAATGAATCGGAACAGCCAACCTTCCTTCCTTCCTTCCTTCCTTCCTCCCAGATGCATGCATGTCTAAAGCCTAATTTTTGTCATGATTTTCGAGCTGCCACTTGCATCTTAATCGCATTGTGTCCCCTCTTCCCAGGATGACCGCAGAGTGCTGTGCATCACGGTGCTACTAGGCCTTGCACGATCACCTGACAGCAATGGCAATGTTGTGGAGTGGACAGAAGACGCCTTTGTTCGTAATGCTGCCATCAGGTGCCTCAGCATCTTCTGTATGTACACTTCACTGCGGGAGGTGAGGAGGACACCGTTCGTGTTTTCACCGATTCACACCAAGCATTCTAATGCCTGGTCGTTGTGCAGATCGTATCATCATGAGGCCAAATGATGATACGCTATGAGGCCAAATGACACCCCTGTGCATCTATGCACGCACATGAAGCTATTTGAAATGGTATGACAGAAGTCACTTTGTGCTCTGTTGAGCATGGTGGGTCCTAATTTTTAGCTACCTCATACTGGCCTGCTCTCGTGCAAACTATACTTTCCAGCTTACAAAGCTTTGAAGTTTTTCCAGTGCTCTTAGATACAAGCAAAGCTCACTGCAAAGAGATAATGATGGGTAATGTCTTCAGCACTGTAGTTACGACATTACTCCTAAAGCATAGATGCATCCGAGCTACGTGTAGCCTGTGCGACCTTATGTAGGTCTTTTATATATGTTAAACCCATAGGGGCGTTTTTTAGGGAAATAAAGGAAAATGACTATAAATTTGCACTAGCCTTGATAGCATTGCCAGCTATGTATGAAACAGTGATCCAACTCGCACTTGTTGCCTTTTTTTGCATATTTTGTCTCATCATTGTAGGATCTCTTGTTTTTGATGGACGTTGGTGAAATTGCTGTGGAAGCACTTGAAGATACCAGTGTTCGAGTGAATGCATCGTGGGCTCTCAGCAATGTTGCTGAAATGCTGTCTGAATTAAGGTGAGCTACACTGCATGATGGTCTGATCATACAGTGAGATGGAGGCACGATAAAGACTCTTCCACTATACAGTCAACTCTCGTTAATTCAAACTCAAAGGGACTTCTGAATTTTGTTTCAATTATAAAGAAGTTTAAATTATCAGAAGTTCTTAGATGACTTTGGGTGAGGTGATGTCACGCATTATGATTAGGCATTGATTTTATCACATTTGAAATTTTTCAAGTATTTTTAAACCCTAACTACATGCAATAAACAAAAAGCAAAGGTTTAAGGCCCACAAGTTCATTTTCCATGTACTGCTAATCAGACCTTATAAAGTAATCGTGAATTGCCAACTATGTCTTTGCTATAGGTACGTGCCTTCAGCAAAAGCTCTTTATACCAGTTGAGAAGCATCACAATTTACCATGCGTGTGCTTTGTTTCAAACGTTTGTTTACTAGCAAAGCCTTTGTTCTTGAAGGCCTGAGGTGCTCATTTTTTATGTTAGACTGTTAGGATTATACAAGCATGTAAATTTTTAAATAGTAGTGGGAAAGCAACAGATATTTTCTGGTATGAAACTGCAAAAAGTATGAATTAACCAAACATTGGAGTTTGAATTAAGAGGCTTTTAAATGCATTGAAAGAATAGAGGGCCAATCGAAAAATTTAATATTGTCTGAATTAACCGAAAGTATGAATTATCAGAGTTTGATTCGTCTACTGTATTGCTAGCGCTGTTGTAAAGTGGTTTTACTGTAAGTATGCTTCAGGAAAGCAACATTTTGGTATTCCACTTTTGATTTCTAAGTATTCCAAACTGCCTTGTAATTATTATTTGCTAATCATAAATCTATTTCTTACCTCTCTGCATAACACTGCTGCTTGACACATTGCAGGCCTTTGTGAAAAATAATTTATGTTAATCAGCATAAGATCGGAGATTAAGCTTCATTTTTATACATTGATTCCTGATTTCTGTTGCTTTAACTATTTGTTATTGTTTTTCACTATTTGTTATGAACTTACGAATGATTGCTGCAAAAATTGGTTTGGATGTTTATAATTTGTTTGTTTGCTTGTTTAAATGGCTAAGATGTTTCATTTGTGGGGGGTGTTATTTGAAGTATGGACAAAAAGAAATTATGTTAAAGTACCAATGTACTTCATTGAACACAGGGCACATACCGGTGAAATATTGTTTATTAGAAATTACAAAATCAAGGTACATAATAGCAATATGCACAGTATACTGGCACATAAAATAATCGGGCATGCACCAAAAGCTCAAAGGCTCATGTTTTCACAAATCTATGAGAAAGTAATGCAGTCCAACATGTAAAAACACAGGGTCTATGTTCACTAACGGAACTAATCCAACTTTACTCTTCCGTTACCACGCGAGAATGGTTGTTCTTCATGTCTCGGGAAGATCGTTTTCGCCAGTTTGAAAGTACTTCAGCACGCATTGCAGCATACCAAACTTTGCAGAATGAAATTCTCTTTCCAAAAAATATAGGTTGTAGAGCAACAAAATATTTCAAAATGAATAAAAATGTGAATAGTGGGAAATTTTTTGTCACCAGCTGGTAAACAGTGGGAAAAAAAATACTATAAGTATGCAAAAATATTCAAAACGAAAAAATTCAGAATATACATTTTGTAGATAAATGACCCAGGAACAGTATAACAATAATTAATGTACAAGATGTTTCTCTTCAGATAAGCAAAGAAAATCGGAACCGAGTTGCTGCTTTATTGCTCCTACCATGTGGTGAAGCATTGCATGTTTTTTTTTTTGTGAGACACAAGAGTACTCGTACACTCTTCTCAGTAAATTTTCATTGCCTTGCCATAAGAGTGTCTAGGTATTCCAATATAGATGAATACCCGTGATGTGAATAATCTTTCTATAAGTGAGATGTCCAATGAACTTTGCTATTTCATCTAGCATCACCTCTTTCTATGAGCAACCTCACTCTGCATAGGTTGGCATTCCAATATATGCATCAAAGCATATTCCTATGCGTCTTTGCACATATCGTAATAAAGAAAAAGGGACAATATCGCGCGCAGTTCTAAAATGTTTCGCACTGTTGTGCTCCGGGGGCCTTCTTGCCGTTAGGAGAAGCTCTGTAGCCAGCGCCACCACATCGCGCCCTAGCAAAGTGTGGACCATGCACATAACCTGAGTAACTATAAAATTATGCACAAAGGTCAGAAGCTACCGTATTTACACGATTGTAAGACGACTCGAATGTAAGACGACCCCCCCAAAATCGCATCTAAAAAAAAGAATGCGCGCATTTTACACAAGGGAAATTTATTCACGTGGTTGCGGAGGATTATTCATCGTCGCTGGAGTCGTCCTCTCTGGTGCTGCTGCCGTCATTGCTGCTGCAGTCCCACAGCACGTCGTCGTCAAGTGTGAGTCCACACTTCGCGAACGACCGCACCACGCCATCGCGTGGGACGGCCGCCCATGCGGAGAGGACCGATTCCGAACTTCCGTCGTGCTGCACAGTTGTTGGTTTCTTCCGCATGAAGAATAGCAGCCCGCTTAAACGCTGCCGTAAACGAGCGCCGAGTGTTCTTCGAGCCTACGGCACTCATGTCAGACAGAAGTGACTCGAGAGAGCCGGTCGTGGACACAAGCGACAGGAGCACGCGGCGACGCCCCCGCTTAGAAAATTGTATCACAAAGTGGAGCTCTTCCGTCAACTACCAATATCCCCCTACGGCGGCTCTTCCATCGATTACCGGTGCTCCCTCAAGAGCCGTGCGCTCGTCATAAAGGCACTCGTAATGCGCGCAGTAGATGCTAAAAAAAGAAAAGCTTTTGTATAAGCACGCGGAAAACTATGAACTTTGGGTTGAGCGGGAAACTATTCGAGATGACAATACATGGTTCGATTTCGATTCTAAGGTACATGGTTCGATTTCGATTCTAAGACGACCCCCCAACATTGGATCGTCAAATTTGAAAAAAAAGGGTTGTCTTACAATCGTGTAAATACGGTAACTTGCAGCGGAGGAGACAACTTGAGAATGTAAACAAAACAAACCCATGAACGTCTACGGATGTCTCAGGCTGACGCAAAAAATCAACCCCATAAAACTTGAAGCTGAGTTGCTGTCATCCACGAAATCTCAGCTCAGTCTCACTCAATTCAGGTGGGGTCGCATGACAGTTTCAAGCAGCGTATGTGTTTTGCAGCACTGATACGCGCCCACGCTTGCGTGACGACCGCGTAATAGGAGCGACTAGTGACACTAGATGCGACCCTGTGTCTGATATAATAATACAAGCAAAACCATAGCGGCGGGAAACTGGCTGTGAGAGACACCTGCACACTTTATACATGCAGTGGACCTTGGGAACTATTTTTTGTAGAATTAATTTTTCCTGACTTCTATCTACAGCTCTCTATTGATTAGCTGAAATAAATTTCCAATAATTATTACTGCTCAACTCAGTCAAATTGCAAAACTAACACATCAATTCGATATTTGGCTTGCAAAGTTTATTTTCATTACAGAACCTCGATGTTACTGTAGCATGATCACGAAGGGCACGCACTTTTGTCAGGTTCGCCGACCTAGTGCATTTTTCCAACTACACACGCACATTGGGTCGCACAAAAGTCTGTAAAAAAATCTCTATGTTGCCCAAGTTGGCAAATTCAAAAAAAAAAATCTGAAAGTTGAGTGGCTAAACTAACCACAAGAAAGTTCTGGTGCACGAGGAAAAAATTTAACATGGCAACATCGATGACCGAGATGCGTCGATCACCGGTGGTCGATTTGAATAGGCGTGGTAACGAAAGAGTTAAGAGAAGCGTGGTTCAATAAAACTTGAAGCTGGCCAAGTTGGCTCATAATTCTGGGTAAACTGGTGTGCGCAAATACAGACAAACGACAACACAAAAGAAGATACAGGGAAAAGCGCAAAATTGCTCAGAGTTAACAGAAGAGAGTGCTCAGCACCGGTGTTCTGAGTCCTCTTACCTCGACCTCCCCACCTTCAGTACGTTCAACATCAGTCACAGTGGTCACGGTGACTTTGGTTGGAGCATAATACAAAATCACTAGGCACGTGAGAATGTTCAAAAAGTTTGAATACTCGAATTACTATTACAGTATTCGAATTCGCTTTGGCAAGAATCTAAGTTCTAGGAAGTTTTGAAGTATTCGAAATGAACGAATAGGTGGTGCATGTTACACTTTATGTAACTGACTGAAAGGTGTTTTCACTGCAGCTTGGAAGTGCTATGTTGTGAAAATGTCTTTCCAGGAAAAATTGCATTGCCACAGTTTTATTTTAGCGTTGAATGAACATTTTTTTGGTCACATTGATAAATGTTTTTTTTTTTTTAAGTATAAAAGCTTTTTATAGTGCTTATATGCTCGAATTATTGTAAATTTTAAAACCTAACGTATTTTACCGGTTATCACTTGCATCCTATTGAAATTGAAATCCTGCTATTCAAATTCGCTTCCACTTCACTTTGAAGAAAAAAGAAAGAAATTCAATTATTCCCTATTTCAATATTTAATAATATTGTGCAAGTTAGTTTTGTCATGACAGATATGATAATTTTTAATAACATGTGGAATACAAATCATTGGATTTGTAATTATTTGACCAGGTCAGTATTCACTTTGAATTTGCTTCGAAACTAAAATTTACTATGCGCATATGCCTCTGAAACACTCTTGATTTAAGTGCACATTAAAAAAATCTCAGGATGGACCCTCCATTGCGGCATGCATCGTAATTATAACACAGTTTGACACATAAACCCCAGAATTTATTTAATGCAATGAGCTTCTTCAAGTTTCAATTTGACTCACTTTATCATGTGTTTCTGAATCTGCTTACAGGAAGAGCGAATCAGATGTTGCATCCGAAGTACCAGACAAGTTCATCTGTCTTCTTGGGAATGCAGCCATTCGTGTGCGGCCAGATAAAAACCAGATGCAAGCAAACATTGTCAGGACACTTGGGTGCCTACTGCAGTTCGTTTCAGCTAAAAATTTAGGTAATTTTCTTGTTGTACAAATAATTTAAATTTCTAAATTGTAGTGGTTTTTCACAATGCATCACTTTCAGCTGTGTGGCATGTATGATGTACAATTCTAATTCTCGGCTATTTGCAAGTGTTGCACGGTATTTGATGTTTTACAGACCTTTCAGAAGTGTTTTCTTTGATTAACTAGTTAGTTTCGAATGAATACGCTGTATTAAGAGAACAAAGGGGGTAAAAGTTCTACTAGGCTTGTGCGAATAGAGAATTTTCGGTTCGAAGCGAACAGTGATTTTGATCGAATAATTTTGAATTGAATTCGAATAATATCTATGACATAAAAAGAGAACAAGGGAATATTTGTCATGACTTAACTGACCTGCACAAAATTTCTTTTGAATTGAAATAGGGGCTGTAGGCAAATGCCTTTTTTTTTTCGCTCAGAGAAAGTCGAAACAACCTTGAGTAGTAATTTGGGTAAGACGCGAGTGATAAGACACTTAGCGTTCTAAAATTTATTGTACTTGGATCACATAAGCCATCATAACAAGCTTAATAAAATGAAGAATTGATTTGAAAGTAACATGTTCCTATGAAAGGGCCCTGCAACACTTTTTCAAGTAGCCATGCAACCAGTAAACATGCTTCTTGCCTCACAAATTTACTGCCGCAAAGTTTCTAGAATCTGTTCAGTACGAGCGGAGTTCCAAAAATTTGTCACATGCTGCAATTGCATTCCCTCTTCTCGTCCCGACGAAATAGCTGGAAGTTATGCAGGAAGAAAATGCACAGCAAAATAAAATACTTCACACGCAGCTCGTGACCTTGAGCACCTCATTTTTTTTTTAATACGCGGTTTTTCAGTGCGATCGCGCAAGTACTCATGGACAAGCGGCGGCCCCGGTAAGGATGAGCGCCCCCATACTTAAATCGGCCAATGCCTGTGACCAGAGCCGTATATTCCTTCTTGGCTGTGACAAGCGATTTCTCAGCTTGTAGTGTCATTTGCCGATGAAAGAAAGTAATTTTTAGCTTCGAAAATTTATTGCGAATTACAGACTATGTGCTGTGCAACAATATTTGCTTCACGTGTTCTTGGTAGCCTCGACTACCGATCGGCAGCGTTTCCTGACCATGCTCAGCAAGTGTTGCAGGGCCCCTTTAAATTTGAAGGGCGGGCTTCACGGCAAAGCAAATTTTAAATAGGTGTTTTCACTGTTTAGCATTTCTACATTGCAGTGAAGTTACTTTTACAGGTGTTGACATGCGGACTAATATACACCTATTCGTTCATTGCGAATACTTCGAAAATATTTTATAATTTAAATTCGAATTGAAGTGAATCCAAATGCTCAACTATTCGTAGGAATATTCAAAGCATTCGAATATTCGCACAAGCCTACTTTCTACAGTAGCAAACAAAATCTAGAACATCATGGCATTGTATGGTATGACACATATTTAATAGAAACAGTAGGATTTAATGCTTTGTTCATTTTGCACCAAAAGTAAAGACCATTACTCCATCTATATAGTTTTATATGGTTCCAAATGTAATCACTTCTTGATTGACTCAGTGTCGTGATTTTCTGGGGGAATTCACGCTAATGTTAACACCTCTGTCTTTCTCCCAAATCTTCCAACTCAGAAAATGAGAACATCAGAAAGCTTGTCATCAGTTCAACGTCATGTTTGATCCAGAGCCTCAGTGCAGGACTGATGAAAGTGCGCTGGAATGCCTGCTACTCATTGGGCTGCCTATTGGGGAGCAGAGATGTCGTCTCTGCGGACTACATTGATGTGGTATGTACTGTAGAGAGTGAAAAAAAAAAACATCTTCAAAAGAACTTTCCGCTTCGACACTGTTGTGGAGAGTTATAACTAGGGCTTCGTGTTTTCGGGCAAATTTGAAAAAAAAAAAATTATAAACACTTGCAAGTAAAATTTTTGGCGATTCATATTTATTCGATAAACTCTGATTTTAACCACCCATACTGTTCCATTCTTTAACCAAAGAGCAGGTTCTAAGCATATATTGGTTTTTCGGCCCGTTTGGCCGATATAAATTTTACCTCACAACCTGTGGCATAGTCAACAATGGGCTCATTGTGCACAGAGGGAGAGATTTCGATGTGTTGGGCCTTCATGGAGCATAGTGGCACTGGGGCTTGCCTGACGACATCGAATGTACGCACCTCATAAGGTAAGTATGCTTGTATCTATTACGACAAGGCTCAAAGATTGTAATGCACGCAAACATAATTTTTTTGTATACCAGTAATTTTGCTTGTGTGTACTATCTGAATTCGTGCACTTTAACCTTTCAGATGACTAAAATACACTTACTGTGTTCTGAAGCATTTGTGTTCAGATATCATTTCATCAAACATATTGTGGTTTTGAGAGTAATGCAAAATAAAATGCCAAGTTTCTGCCAACAAATAAACCCTGAAGAATAACTTTGAATTTCAAGAAAAATAAACTCGAGGAAAACACAGAGCCCTAGTTACGACTCGTAAAGCTTGACCACTCTTGAGTTATTAATGTTTGCAGAAGTCTGATTGCTTTGGCATTATATACGTTATTTTAGGTTCAAGTTAATTTAAATAAGGATGTGGGCAAATATTTTTTGAATCGAGCTTGGATAGTATGTATCACATATTATAAAGAAAAATGGGCACATTTTTTATGACCCAACTAACCTGCACAATATTTTTTTTAATTGAAATGCATGTGCAAAGGCAATTGTTTTTTGTTCAAGGGAAGCGTAAACAACTTTGAATAGTAGTATGATTTTAATTTTAGTAGAATGCAAGTGATAACCTGTAAAATATGTTCAATTTTAAAATTTACTATACTTAGAGCACATAGGTCGATATGTCGAGCTTTCGAACTAAAAAAAAAATAATGAATAGATGCAAGGGTAATGTGTTCATTAAACCTTGAAGTGGGGCTTAGCGGCAGTGTGGATTTTTTTTTTTAGTAGGTGTTTTCACGGCATGCACTTATTACTGCAGTGAAACCACCGTTACAGGAGTAAGAATAGCAGACTGGGCTTGTTGGTTTAACATATTTGCAGCTTAAGGCGCGAAAACGACACGGACGAAGAGAGCGTGTGTGTGTACTGTCTCTCTTCGTCCGTGTCGTTTTCGCGCCTTAAGCTGCAAATACGTTACAGGAGGTTACACGCAGACTGATATACATCTATTTGTTCATTTCGAATACTTCGAAACTTTCAATAACTAAACGTCAAATCGATGCGAATTCAAATACTGTAATATATGTTCAGATATTCGAGGTGCTCGAACATCTGCACAAGCCTAACGATCAGCACAGCCGGGTTGGCAGCCCTGACAGAAACTCGAGACAGGTGCTGAGTGTATCTTTAACTGTGAAGAGCACCCAGCCTTTACATCATAGACTGGACAATGCAAATCTCCCAGTTGTTACATGCAGCCAAGTTTCAGTGTATAAAAAATTTCATCCAAATACATTTTTCGTGTTGCTTCGTCACACAGTTTATAGCAGTGATAAAGAATCTGTAAGGACAGATAGTTTTCACATGGAAAAAGAAAACTTTTGCATCTGAACTAGAATAGATCCAACGTCAGTCGTAACCACTCTTGAACACCTGCTTGTTACCAGTGGCTTAAATACCCTGTGAAGTTCAAAGTTACAGGAACTATGCTAGTTTGAACCTTTCAGAGCACCTTAACTCTGTCACTGTCACTGGCATTTGAAATAATCCACTTTTTTTTTATGGCTTGTCTACCACAGCGGCAACTAGGATTAAACGTATACTAACCAAGTCTAAAGGGGTGCCAAAATTACAATGTTATAAAGCATTTATTCACTATATACTATCTCTTATTGCCCTTTATGACTGCATATTGCCAATAAAAGGTGCAACTTCGTAAATACAAGCAAAATAGAAGTACTACAGCCCACTGAACTAAGGGAATATTCAAGGACCAGCACACACACACACACCTGTGCTCTCAAAATTTTTGTGTACAATGAAAGACGTAGTAGGAAATGGATTTTTGTAATACCTGCCTTCCTAGCACCCACTTCAGAGTCAAAGGCGTCCCCCTTCCCAAAAAAGTTGCTGGCTTGCAGCATTTGCTGTTTCACCGAGTTCCTGTACACTGCCTCGTGCTGTAGGTGATTAAGGCTGATTCTGTGCTCTAGTGTGGCACCCTCTTGTGTAGTAAAAGGGAAAATGTGTGAGGTACTTTGCTGCTTGTATGTTGCTCAGGTTTCCGTCTTCAGTGCCCTGCTTTCGAGCCTCAACAGCTGCAGCAACTTCAAGGTGCGCATACAAGCAGCCGCTGCTCTGGCTGTGCCGAAAGTGCGTAACACTTACGGAGACCAAATGCAGACTGTGTGGTGCGGTACCCTCACCGCTATAGAAGGCACAAAGCAGTCAGTGGACTATCGAGAACTGCAGCACCAGGAACAGCTTAGGGAGCAGGTGCGTTCAATTTCACTTTGTGGGGCATAGGTCAGTGATTTGGTTTTTAGCACGTGGTCACTCTAACACAATGCATTGACCGTCCTGTTGGTGCTCGTCCGTAACGTCGTTTAGCTCAACAAAACACTATAAGAAAGACGACAGAACACAGCACTACTCTCAACTGACATAATTTTATTGCATCATGCACCTTGGTTTGCAGTGTATCAGCACTGCACTTTAAATTTTCCAGCATGTAATTTACTTTTTTGGTTGCTGCCCATTGACAGTGCTGTTTGACCATGGTAATGGTCACATGAACAACTGACACTTACGATACTATGTATACATGTTTTGTTGGTTTGGGTATGAAAATCTGTTCAATCAGAACTCTCCTTTGTTAATGTGTCATGTCAGTTTTCAAGGATTGTACTTACTGCACACCGTCTTGACATCTGTGCTTTCTCATAAAGATATACACTTCAATAAAATTATGTTCGTTGAGAGTAGTGCAGTGTCTTGTCATTTTTGTTGTTTTGTTGCACTTATAGTTACTATGACATCAGTTCTCATTTGTTTGGGATCTGAACAACACAATATTTATATATGGTACCGGTGTTGCACGTGTACATTTGATTGCAATCAGGTACAATCCGGATTGGGCTTCATCCAGATTAGTTCATGCTCTGCCGCCACTTTCAATTGCAAGCATGCCCCATCATGATCAAGCATATTCAATCTGACTTTCAGATTGCGATTTGACAGATGTCTGCGCCAAACTCCTTATACCAGGCACTTTCAATCATGATCAAGGCTAATCTGGATCTGATTTCTTGATTGTGGTCAACAACAGTTGCTACTACACGGTCCAAACTTATTCATATTGAGTTTGGCACCGACGCCAGTCAAATCATCATTCGGGAGCAAGATCAAGATCTTGATCAGGCCTGATTGTAATTAAAAGCGAGGTTGTAGCAACACCTGATCCTAGATTGAGTGCGGATCGGACCCGACTGCGATTGAAAGTGTCTGTGTTACGTCAGCCTTTTCCATCATTGCCCAGCTACTCTGGTGCCTTCGAAGTGGGGTCAACTACTCATGAACCCAATATCTAAAATGTGGAATGCCTAAACTTTATATTGTTTGATTCTTTTTTTAACTTCTTGGTGTGATCGCAGGTCTATAAACGCATTATTTGACACCTCTGCTGCCTCTATGTTTATTATGGATAGCACAGTTGGAACCTTATTTTTTAGGAATCTAAAGATCTAGTCCTTTTTATGAGTAAACATGTTGACTACATGCTGATGTCTGAAAAATGTGTAGTGTTTATTACATCATAGCAACAAATCTTGTATTCTGTTCATTTTATTGACGTTTGATTAGCGTAAAGAGTTTAAGAGTATAGCAGTCGAAAGGTTAGGACATACTGAAGACTTTCTGTAAAGCTGAAGCAGCAAACACGAAGAGTTTGTGTTAGCAATATGTCAGCTGCATTTCGCATTGCCACTTATGAAGTGACTGGGGCAGTTTTAAGTGCATGCCATTTTCAGGATCTGGAATTCGTCATACATATATGGAGCATTTCATCAACTAATGTGTAAGCAATCATCAGAGTAGACGCTGTCTGTTTCAGATCTATCTGGCTATCTTTTCGCACTAGTATTTAACCTATTGCAGACAGGTGCATGTTAAAGAACCTCAGGTGGTCGAAATTTCCAGAGTCCCCCACTACGGTGTCTCTCATAATCATATGGTGGTTTCGAGATGTTCAACCCCACATGTCAAATAACTTATTACAGATGAAACCCTTTATAAGAGACACTGATATAAGAGACAAATTGGTATAAGAGACAAATTGGTATAAGAGACACCAGTTCGCCTACAGTAAAATACAGGTGGATAAAATGCTTACGAGGTACCCTGCTTATAAGAGACATCTCGTATAGAAGACGGGAATAGCTGCCCGGAGAATGCCTTTTATAAAGGGGTTCATCTGTATTACCCAACTAATACTTGTAAATTTCTAAGATACATCTCATGATAAGTCGACAACAAAGTATTTTTTAGAACTAAGCATTACTTCATATATTTGTTGTCCTAGTTTTTTTTTCCACATATCTGATTTGAGGAAGTTGTATGTACCTTCTACAGAACTCCAAGCCTTTGACATCCCACCTAATCAGACTGCATTATATAGGAGCTTCACAACTTGTCATTTTTCGTGCAGTCTTATTATCCCAAGATTTTTCAGACATTTTAAATTGGCGTTTAAAAAGAAAATTTTTTCCAAAGGTAACACACATGCTGTTTCAGCTGCCCCCTTTACGGTCTCACTCTCTCCTTTCATTTATACAGTCTGCAGCCTTTCAGTTATTATTTAACTTTTTTCTTTTAAGAGGGAGCTTTAGATGAAAGAAATTGTAAGTAGCACTGATTATCGTTTGTGTGCCTTTACCGATGTGTGCAATTTCTTTGTCCTTTCTAGTTGTGTGCCACAATATGTCACCTCCTCTCGCTGGCAGAGCCTGCAGACTTGCCTGGCATGGCACGAGCTGCATTGGAACATGAGTGCAATATATCTGGTGCCTTTAAGAGGACACAAGGAAAGCTATCACTTATAGGTATGCTCTTCAGGACTGCAGTAATACAAAATGCAGGTCAAAGGCAGTCGTAGTTGAGCTTGAACTGCAACACCCCTCAGAGTCATGATGCCGACTGTGAGGTTGTATTGCCTAGCGATTCTACGGCCACAAAAATTTTTCAAATATGTCATGTAAAGGTAGAGTTGCAGGTAGTTATTGCAGGCAGCGAGTGCTTTTTCTCTCTTGAAAGAAATTTATGTAGCGCGAGGTGAAAAAACGAACACAGGAAAGAATAGACTGAGAGGACAGAGCGCTACTAGCAACAACATGTTTATTTTCGACCTCCAAGCTGTTTTTAAGCTATAATTGTCAGGCAAGCAAGCAGATAAGCAGGTGTATTCAGATAAATGCACGACAATGTCATTTACCTACAAGAAAAAACGATAAATAGGACAACAACAAACCACACAGATAAAATCACGTATCACGGCGTACGCCGGAACGCCAGTTCCTTGGGTGACAAGGCAATTGAAGGCTTGCTAATACATACATCTCCAAAACCATCAATAAGTTCGGCTTCTATGATCAACCGAGTCATCTCATCCTTATGCCGACCAACAATGATTGTACTCTGGAACAAAGGCCGGCACCCACACGCGTGAATGTGAAGAGCGAGAAAACCTTCTGGCGGCAGTTTATCCGCCTTGTAATTGTTTTTCTCTGTTTCTCTGTTTTCTCTGTTTCATCGTAATCTTCTCTGTTTTCATCGTAATCTGTGAAAGCTAGATGTCAATATGACTAGGTCTCCACAAGAGTTAAGATCAGTGCTTGTTATAGCCTTGACCATTTTCATCTTTTTTGACCAGTTGGCCATTACCTCTAGGTCATACCGTATTTTCTTGCATATAACCTGCATGAAATCTACAGAAAGGTAAAGCTGGAGTTGGCTTGAATCGTATGTTGAAATTTTGGTGTGCAAGTTGTCTTCGTCCACTTCTTTCCAGTAATGCAAAAAAGGCTTTCACAGCTGTGCACATGATTTTTTTATTTGTGTATATAATTCTTTCCATAGTTTGTGGTTGGGGTGCGAGTTTCATGCGAGGGCAAGTTATACAATAGAAGGTACAGTATAATAAGTGCAGTGTCAGCTATATATTGCAACCGTGGAAGCCGAAGACAATGTCACAGTTGATTGTGAGCTTGTGCGCGGCATTCTGGTCAAGCTGCACGAGAACTCGGTGTAGAGTAGCTTTGCCAACTGAGAGTAGCCAAATCCCAATAGCAAATTTTAAAGCACTTTCAGTTGGCTAAATATGATGTTGGTCAGTAGAAATATCAGCCGTCATGCAGACACTGCGGAATCAGGGCATCGATGAAGTATATATTAACGTCCTGGAAGAAATCTACAGGGGATCAACTGCTACCATAGTGCTTCATAAAGAAAGCAACAGAATACCAATCAAGAAGGGTGTAAGGCAGGGGGACACGATCTCCCCAATGCTATTTACCGTGTGCTTACAGGAGGTTTTCAGAAGCCTAGAATGGGAACATTTAGGGACAAGAGTTAATGGAGAGTACCTTAGTAACCTGCGCTTTGCTGATGACATTGCATTGCTGAGTAACTCAAGGGACGAATTGCAACTCATGATTACGAAGTTAGACAAGGAGAGCAGAAAGGTGGGTCTTAAAATTAATCTGCAGAAAACGAAAGTAATGTACAACAACCTCGGAAAAGAGCAGCGCTTCGAGATAAATAATAGTGCACTTCAAGTTGTAAAAGACTATGTCTACGTAGGGCAGGTAATAACCGCGTAGCCGAACCACGAGATTGAAGTAACTAGAAGAATAAGAAAGGGGTGGAGCACATTTGGCAAGCACTTTCAAGTTATGACTGATAGATTGCCACTATCCCTCAAGAGGGAGGTATATAACAGCTGTATCATGCCAGTACTTAGCTACGGAGCAGAAACCTGGAGACTTATAAAAAAGGTTCAGCTTAAATTGAGGACGACGCAGCAAGCAATGGAAAGAAAAATGGTAGGTGTAACCTTGAGAGACAAGAAGAGAGCAGAGTGGATTAGGGAATAAACGGGGGTTAAAGATATCATAGTTGAAAACAAGAAGAGGAAATGGACATGGGCCGGGCATGTAGCGCGTAGACAGGATAACCGCTGGTCATTAAGGGTAACTGACTGGACTCCCAGAGAAGGCAAGCGGGTTAGGGGGAGACAGAAGGTTAGGTGGGCAGATGAGATTTTGAAGTTTGCGGGTATAAATTGGCAGCAGCAAGCACAGGACCGGGTTAACTGGCGGAACATGGGAGAGACCTTTGTCCTGCAGTGGACGTAGTCAGGCTGATGATGATGTTGGTCAAGGCAGCGCATGTAAAACTGGTGTAGCATTTATAAGGCGGGTAGCATGCACTGACAGATGTGCCAGTAGTTTTGGATGTGAGAATTACGTCACGTTCTCATGATAAAGAACCGTGCAGTGAAACCAAATTGACTTGCTTAATATGTGAACCTGTGCCCAGAATAAGGAACACCTTAAGTGAGAGCAAAGAACATTCAGCTAATAACAGTGAGCGAGTGCTTAATCATCGATAATCTGATCAACGGTGAACGACATTGGGCTTTATAGATGCGTCATTGAACAATCCAGCAATACTCGTGTTTCTTCCAAAATTAACTCAGCTACTGGTGTCGTGCGATGAATTTTATCAGACCCCAACAGTCTGGTGTGGCCTGTTCCAAGTAGTAGCATTTGTTTAGTCTGTGATATGCAGTCAAAATGAAAACTAAGTGAGCACGTGTAACAGTATGCACTGCAAGTTCAGTATGAGGCAATCAGCAGACTTGAAAACATGGCGTTTTTAAATGCATGCACGTAAGGTACCAGGTCGTACCTTGCACGAATGTAGCAAATTACAAAATATTAAGCAGACGACCATCAATCAAGGCTTCAAGTTTGAAGATGAAATACTTTTACGATGTTTTGGGGGCTGGGGACATATTTTTCACTCATTTAACTCGGAAAACGAGTGGTATAAGTATTACCCAAAATGGTTTCATACTCGTGAGATCAGCTAATGCCGGCATTGCGTATTCTGCTGTGCCATGTATGACAATATTTCGAATAAGAATGAACAATCTATTATTATGCTTCCTGACTTCAAATTGTAAGTTTTCTGGTGCATGCAATGCAATAATATTTGGCTGAATTGTTAACGGGAGCCTTGATTAGAGACGACAGATGGGCAATGTTTTCTTACCAAGCTAAAGAGGTGTTGCAGGACTCTTAAAAAAATAGCATGTTTAACTTATTTACTTGTAGAAAGTGGCTTAGTCAGCGAGCAGAATTTCATTTGAAATTAAACTTTTCATTCATTGTTCTTATCACTGACAAGCTGTAGCACAAATGAAGTCAGTCTGATGTCACAGTCCTTGTCTTTATTTTCATTGTGCTCATCTCCTTTATGCTTGGTATGCAAAGGTTGCTTTGCCGAAGTTTCTTGTTTTCAAATTCAGGGATAACTACGGTTTTGTAATTGACAGTTGTCTGGTCTCACTCGGTAACAGTTACAGCATATTTTTTGTGTTACATTTTTTTTATTTGTATAGTGTCTCCGCTTTGTAAAAATGACAAATTCATTGTTGACTGCAGTTTGCTAAACCAGCTTTACCAAGTGTTAATCGAGCTAATAAGATTGCCTTTGAATGAATACGGTTTCGAGGCTTTGATATACAGTAATAGTTTGTTCATTCAAATTCGGTTAATTCAAACTTGGAGTTAATACAAACTGACTCCCTAGTCCTGGCACAGCCCTTTGTGTTTCTACGAAGGAGAACACTTGATAATTTGGAACGCGTTTGTATTGCAACGGTGAATACGAACTGGGAGCCCCTGCTTTCCATCCCATATTGCAGAAGTCGCCCAGAGTGACCACAATGTGCTGCAAAACTAAACCAAACCAAATTTACTAGATATGCACAATAACGAAACAGCAGCATGTCTCAACAGATGAGAATTTAAGCGCTGAACTGGATCCCATGATGGGCAAGCTGCAAGTGATTCTCATAGAGTTGCGACTGAAGGAACCCAAGCAAACGCAAATTACTGAAAACTTTCAATTTTATTCCGTTTACTCTGCCATGTAAATAAACATGTCTTGAAGTATAAACAGCATCATTGAGGCTCTCTGCTCATAATAATGCATGTCAGTGCTTTTTTCTGTTCACTGTTAGAGCTCCATGAACTCAGTTAACAAAATCACTTTCCACAAACCTATTGTATAGCATCCTATTTGCAATAAGGAATCCAGAGGTGGCTTCCTTGGGTTGTGCCCACGTACGGTTGTGCAGCGTTCATTGCTTCTAGTGTCTGCCCGATAATTCGTACTCCACTTAATTTGAACGATCTTATAGTCCCCTTCAAGCTCAAATTTACGAGCTTTTACTGTGTTACAATATAGTATTCCACGCTACTTTAAAATGAAGTACATTTTTCTTGGAAACTGATCGAAGTTGCAGTGCATGGGATTCGCGTGAACTCCGTGGAACAAAGTGATATCGTGTTAAGCACTCTTATTTTACTTCAGTGTTTAGCAGTTACTGCAGCTGTGCATATCATGCTGCACTTTTTTGTCTCATTTGTTCTTGTTTTTTTTTGTTTTTTTTTTCAGAACTGTTAAACAAATCTCATGAAAATGTTGCAAAAGTATACAAGGAGTCCTCCGATAACTCAACCGCCAAGCTGCTAAAGCTGCTGGACAGCCTGCTCAAGGACAAAGAATTTAGTGACTTGTTATCACTGAAGGGCCTAGATATTTGTTAACTTTTTGTTGTTGATATATTGTGCTAGGATTGTTTACTTGTTAGAAACTATTCAAATTTAGTGGATTCTTGATGCACTTTTGCGTCCAGGAACCAAGAGCAGATTCACTGTGTTCGCCGTGTTGGTCTGGACTCTTCAATATAGGCTAGCTAAATTTATTGCATAAAATCGTGTGCTACAATTGTTCTTTAAAAGCGCGAGCGGAGCCTCCTTTTTGGGGCCATTTTTATCTACATTCACGTGCTCTATTGCACATATATTGCATTTCATGAATAAAACATTTTCATATTTACATATTTTGTCTTATCGATGCCCTGCTCTCCTTTAAAAAGTAAGCCAAGCTACTTACAAAGGTAATTGCTCGCAGAATTAAGAACATTGGAATTCAATCAACCAAAGGAACAGCAGGATTTCGAACAGGTTCCAGCACCAAGGCATTCATAAATCAGGAGATCCGCTATCCCCACTGCCTCCACCAGTCCACCATCCTTATCAATGCCTATGACCGACCAGATTGCGTTTACATAAACGACAAGATCAGATTTTGAGCCTGCCTGACTATATGTCATGAGAATAAGAAGTTTGCGAGTATAAAGTGGCAGCAGCAATCACAGGACCGAGTTGACTGGCAAAACATGAGAGGCCTTTGCCCTGCAGTGAATGTAGTCAGGCTGCTGATGATGATGATGACTATACGCCTGGATAACATCAATGCACAGCATAGCTAAGGCATGCATTACAATAAAAAGAAAACGTGCTGCAAAAAAAAAATCTGCAGTTTTTGCGCAAACTTTACAAGAGGAGCTGAAGACGGTAACGAAGAACGCGAATGACACATCAGCGTGAAAGATTAACGTCTCCACTTCCTCTCCATTTTCTCATTTTTTTGTTTACATAAGTGTCCAAGACCATCAAACAATTTCATGGCCACAGTGTATTACGGCCAGCACACGAATACTATGCTGGCTCTAGCTTAGATAGGCGTGCAGAGGGAGAGGGGTCACCGGCAGCGCCTCCCCCTTTCAACTGAGAAGGCAGAGTGCAAAGTCAGCCCCATATATTCACACGATAAGGGGAGGAGGCGCTGTGACGAACCTTTGCCCACCCTAAAAGGGAACCCTGCGCACTCTTATGAGTTCTGATAACATAGGATAGGCTTCGCATCATGCACTACTGCATGTTTTATTTAAAATGCAAACTGCTACGTATGTTCAGAGTTAACAACGGCGCGAAAAACACGGGACACAAAACGGTGAGAACACAAGGACGGACACTGTTTCTCACCTTCTTGTGTCCCGTGTTTTTTTTGCCGCCCATGAACCTACACCACCTCGCCCAACTGTTATTGGTACTATGTATGTGCCAGAACCGCACATACGTGGTACCAATAACATAAGAAGCGCCTCCCCCTTTCAACTGAGAAGGCAGAGTGCAAAGTCAGCCCCATATATTCACACGATATGGGGAGGAGGCGCTGTGACGAACCTTTGCCCACCCTTAAAGGGAACCCTGCGCACTCTTATGAGTTTTGATAACGTAGGATAGGCTTCGCAACATGCACTACTGCATGTTTTATTTAAAATGCAAACTGCTACGTATGTTCAGAGTTAACAACGGCACGAAAAACACGGGACACAAAACGGTGAGAACACAAGGACGGACACTGTTTCTCACCTTCTTGTGTCCCGTGTTTTTTTTGCCGCCCATGAACCTATACCACCTCGCCCAACTGTTATTGGTACCATGTATGTGCCAGAACCGCAAAACTTCCTGCCAGTGACGCCAACGGTCTTTTTGGTACAACGTGTGTTTATTGAATTACCAGCACGTAATTGAACAAGGCAACAACATACAAGTGATAGAATAGCGATATTTCATTTTTTTTTTGTAGTAATCACAATACATGAGTCATTTACAGTCATACACGTATAGTGGATGTATTATTAAATATAAAACTATACTTCATTTAAAACTGTCACTTCATCCACAAGAATGTGAATTGAAAGGCGATGCACAGCTATATGACTGGGAACAAAACAAGCAAGTCTGGACAACAAGCGCATCAGATGCTTTCAGTGGTTTCGACGCTTTCAGTGGTTGTTAAATTGGAGATGAATTCATCGCAAGAACAAGCAGGTCAGAACCACAATGCAATAAATAATAAAAACCGTTATACAAAGCATGAAAAACATTTCAGACAAATTTTCAACATTTTTTTGAGAAGTATACATCACATTGTGAACAAAGTAATTATGCTGTGCATGAAACGAAACATGAAAATCTTGCTTTTCATAACACTTTCACGCTCAACCCTATTCCAAAATATGCAATCAGTGCTGCGAAAATCGCAGCACTGATTGGAAAGACACATACACATACCAAAACATAAAACTGCTTGTGTGCAAAAAAAAAGCTGCAGCGCAGCATACATAGATGCTCAAAAAGGGCAAAATGGCTGCGAGTGCGCACTGCGTCTGTTTCGGTACCCAGCTTTCATTCGCAATGAATGTATAAATCATAAACAAGCAACAGGGAACGTCATAAAAAAAAAGGACCTGTTCAAAAGAAGAGCATTGAGCGAAAGGAATTTCCACCAGCTACATTTCGCGGCATATACATGACACAAATATATAAGCAAAATAAACACACGAGAAGCATACGCAAAATCTGAGAACTCAATATTCTACAGCATTCGCACTGTCTGTGGTCTTGGCACTCTTGTGTTTCAACTTTTTAAGCTTTTCACGCAGCTGTACACAGATTTGGTGGTTGCATTCACACCCAGCGCCCGAAGTTGTGCGCAACTCTGCCCTGTTTGTTTTCTACACTAAGAGGCACTTCTGTTTCACTGTCTTCATCAGCACAGCGGCGTCTTTTGGCCCGAATTTCTTGAATGAGGCCCTCATACCAGTACTTAGCACCCAGTTTTCGATATGCTCGACTGATAAGGACGTAATCGGCTACCTCTAGCCTCTTGGCTAGTTTCAAAGCATCTTGAGCTGTATTCCACTTGTTCGTTTTCGAGTGGTGCAAGTGTTTCAATATGTCATTTTTTTTCTCTATTCCCTGACTAGAAAACCATCCAAAGCATTTACACGTCTCATGCTTGCTTGTGGCATGGTGCACAAGTATGTACACATAAGGAGTAACACGCTCGGGGCCGTACCCTTTGCACTCTTTTCCCAATTCTAGGAAAGCTTCAAAGAACTGATAAGCTTTGTTTTGTACACTGAGTCCGTCTACATTTTGTTCGAAGTGGTCTAGCACTTCCTCGAAGAGTTTCCAAAGGCGGACAGTCTTGGCTTCTGTTTGAGCGGGGAGACTGCCAGGAAGCTTGTCCGGTAAGAGCTTCAGAGGGCGCTTCATTTCGCCACCTGTCAAACTGGTAAGCGTCATTCCTATGTGTTCATCGTGCCAAACGTCAAACTTGACGCCGTAGTTGTTGATCTCGTGGATTATTCTCTTCGGAGTGCTGCTCGAGGCTTTCGGATTAAGCACCTTTGCTCTATTGTCGTGGTCTTCCGCATCCACCAACAAACCGTCGATTAAGCGGTTCATAATACAGATTCCCATGTGCATGACATCAGGTATGAGGAAACTCTGTTTTTTGTTGAATAAAGGAACGTTTTTCATGCCATTGGCTTCATTTAAAGAATCTTCTCTCATGTTTTTTGCCGCACGAAGAAGTGGAGGAGTATTGAACTCCGTGATGCTAGCACCACTTTCAACACGCTTTTTTGGATTGGTCCTACAAAATGGACATGGAAACTTCGACGATGCTGACATGAGCCCTTCAACAACAAGCAGAAATTTCATATCTTATCCGATACAGATGCGTACGGAAATCTTATGATCACCTACACGGATGCTACCCCTTTCGGCTACCACGTTTATATCACGTATTAGCTTACCAAAGAGTTCTCTAATGCTAAAATAACTTTCTTGTATTTCCGCTATAGCCAGGAGACGATGCAGTCTATGGCTCTGCAAGTTCTTGTCACTCTGAATAATGACAAACGACAGCGTTGTCCACGTCTTGTGTCTGTTCACTACGCAACCATCACCCTCCACCTTGACTAACAGGTGTTTTTGCCAATATCTTCTAAAGTAAGCCCTTTAGAGGCAGCACATTCCTGTACTGCTATCTTCAACTCTTCTTTAAAATACACCTGAGCACCAGCGGACTGCCCAGACGTCCTGAAAATTCTAACGAGCCCGTCGAGTTTCTTCCTGTTGGAGTTTATAATCCCAAATATTGGCAATCGAACTTCAAGTACGGCTAAAAGCTGATCCCGGAAAACATTGCTAACGTAATGATTATCTAAGAGCGCCGCATTGCTGCGTACACACCGTTGGTCAGAAGTGAGGGTATCATACTTCGGCACGCAGCCACCAGAAAAGCCGCGCTTGACGTTTCGCTTGATGTAGATCTGTCCATTTTCACCAGCTGTGATGTTGTTAACGAGGCCTTTGAGGTCAGCGACGAGAAGTTGACAAATGTTAAGACCATAGGTCTCAAGCACGCTCTCTAGAGCTTCCGCTATAGAACTTCCTGCAGCGCGGATTTTTCTTAGATCGGTCTTTCAACACCGTTCAGTCACCAGTTTTCCTTTGTTGAGAGGCATGGGTGACGGGCTATAGCTTGCAGTTTTCTCTAAATGTGCACACTTCTCTTCAAAAGATGTTATTTTTTGTCAGAGTGACTCAATAGTTTCCGTTGACGCAGTCTCGACACGACTTAACTCTTCTTCCAAAGCACTGATGATGATGTCCTTTACACTGCGTCCTGCCGATGCGCACCTTATATTAATCCGCACTGTTCTCTCAATCTTTAAAAAGCTCGGCTTTGCGCGACCTGCGAGACCCTTGTAACACCTCTCAGCACATCTGCTCAAAACTTCAAAGCGGCTCTCTAAATGGTCTTTGTCAACCGGAATGACAGATCCGACTTGTAAATAGCGCTTAACGAGATCCGAGTATGGCCTCTGCAGAAGCATGGCAGGAGCTCATTTTCGTGGTGAAGTTTGATGGCTATTCATTAGTTAATGTTAAGGTCACGCCTGAACTCTCAGACCTCCTCAGAAGCAGCTTCCAGTCGCCGTGGCAATGGCTTGCTTGGGTGCTTGATTTCTCGCAGGCAGGCTTCATTCAGGAGCCTCTTAGGTTCCAAGGTGCAGTGCCATTTGGAGTAGCCTTTCCATTTGATGAGGTACCCCTTGCTCTGAAGAAAAAAAAAAAAATACGGAAAGCCATGATGACGATGGTACAAGCAACAAAACACATATA